CATCTTACAAGTGAGCCATGGATCTCTGAGTTTGGGGGGTGTTAGGCTGCCTCCGGGGTAGGGGGCAGACTCTTCCAATGTCAAGGCCAGGTTGGTTCCTGGTCAGAGGTTCCGCCTGAGAGGACGGCTGGATGGCAAAAATCCTGGGGTGCCCTTGATGCTTCCGGGGGGTGGGGGGGACTTGTGACTGCTCTGACCTGAGGCCAGCCTCATGGAGCTGGCTGTCAGCTTCCAAAGGGCCCAGGCCGGGTCCTGAGAGGCTGCGGCCCGGGGCCTCCTTAGCGCTGCCGGCGGCATCCCAACCTGGGCCCCGGCTCCGGCCTTCTGCCTCGTGCCCCCAAACACAGACACGCCTGAGCCCAGGACCATCCTGCTGACCATGCCCATGGGCCCCGAGGGGCTGAGGCCATGGGCAGCGGGGGACTCTGTTCCAGGTCCCCCAACATCTCCCACCAGCAGCTGCCGGGAAAGGCTTTGCCAGGAAGGGGGGCACACGGAGTGAACCTCAGGGTTTCCCATCATGGGGGGCGTCATGGAAACACTCTCAAAACCGTCACAAAGTTGTGACGTTGATGTTTGAGAGACAGTACGGACCCGGGTAGGGCCAGCCAGGGTCGCGCCGTCTCCTCATCGTTGGGTGGTGGCTGCCAGAAACTGGGTTGAGAAAGATTCTGATGTCGTTTCTGGTCTCAGCAAGAGGCAGCTCACTGGGGGACAGGAGCCCTGCAAAGGGCGCATGGGTGCGCGGTGCCCTCCCCACCTGAGAAACAAACTCCTGCGTGTGCAGGGAAGAGGTCATTGCAGGTTGGAAGGAGCTCTGGGTGAGGACCCAGGTCCAGACCTGACCTGGCTTCCATGAGGCTCAGAGCATAAGCCTTAGCACCCGTGCCTCAGTTTCCCTTCTCGCAGTGGTTCTGGGGACGGATAGATCCCTGCCCTTTGAGAGGTGCTCCCTCAGGACAGAGGGGCACATGTTTTGGTGTGGAAACCCAGTCGGGGGTTTGTGGGGAAAGTGGCTTTAAACAAGTATAAGCACCTGCAGAGGAGGGTGGGCCCTGAGAATGAAGGGGGCTTCATGCTCGCAGGGGGCTCTACGGCCGGGCCCTCTGCTGATCACATCGTCCCTCTGCTGCAGTTTGGGGAGTGGGGAGGGCAGGCAGGGGACCAGGGCTGGCCGAGGGCCAGGTGGGCACCAGCTGTATGCTCAGTTTCCATGTCTGTTCGTGGATATTCACGTCTTAGCCTTTAGTCTTATTCCTTGCCCGGGGTCGGGGGCTGCACGGGCCACCTTGCAGGGGCCCGTGAAGCCTGGTTCTGGGCTGGGCGGGGCGCAAGGGACACGGATGTGCCAGGTGTGGCTGTGGCCTGAGGACTTGGGCTTTCCGGAGAGGCAGGTCCTTTACCAGACAGCTGTCATCCCCATGTGCCAGGGGCTCGGGCAAGGGGTGACCAATGCCAGCAGCCACGGCTGCCCCCAAGCCCCCTGAGCCCCCCGAGCCCCCTCTTCCTTATAGAGTTTGCACCTGGGGAACAAATATTCTGACATCAAGCTGCTAGTTGAAAGAAGAAAGTATTTTATTTGAATTGGGTGAAATTTGACTTAGAAGGCCTGTTGCTTAATAAAAACGTGTGGTTTGATTCACTGTCCCCATCATATGGTCCTTGTCTGCCAGCGCGTTTGCAGTGGGGCCGGGAGCCTCTGACATCCACAAGGAGAGGGAGAGGCAGAGAGGGACAAAGAGGAGGGAGAGAGGAGCCGCCCACAAGAGGGAGCAGGCGGGCGGCTCTGTCACAGGAGGGACAACAGAACTCAGGGAGGGGAGCCCTCTGCATAGACAGGGTCAGCCTGGGGGAGTTCTGAGCTCCTTGCTTGTCTTCAGGGTTTTTAAACCCACGGTGGGGGGGAGGGTCACACATTTGGACCTCTGTCTCAGGGATCAGGTAGCATGGGCCTTTTCCGGACTCTAAGACTGTCACCCAGTTCTGCCGCTGAGTTATCCCCTTTACCCCATCTGTGAGCCAGTTTTCCCACTGAGCCTTTGGGAGGCCAGGGAGGGCAGTGGGTCCCGTCCCTCAGAGTGGTGCACGGTGCTGGCGCTTGGCGTCACAGACCCCAGGAGGCCATCTGGGGATCCACGCTTCGTGACTTCGAGTGTCACATCCTCCCAGCCTCCCATCGTCCAGCACAGCCCAGGCTCCAGCACGGAGAAGGGGCTCACACACCTTTCTCAAATGAAGGTCAAGGAGGCTGTGGCTTCCTTGCTTGGGCCCATGGTTTTGACATATGCAGAATGAGCAGCACCTCCTTTGGGTCAAGCTCATAGGTACATGTTCTATTGCTTCACTCATGGCTCTGTCTTCAGGAGCAGAACATGCCTTTAGTTGGGCCCATGGGAGGGTTGTGGGGGGGTGCAGGGGCAGGGGCAGCATCAGGTCCTTAGAAAGGGATGGTGGGACATAAGAGGCATCAATGACAACCAGATGAACACAAGGTCTGGGTAAGCATGTGATCTTACCCATGGGCTTAAGGCAAGTGTAGAGTGTTAGGTAGAGTGTGGACACTGCCAGGCAGTGGTCCTGGGCCATGGCTTCATCCCAGTGTGTGATGTAGGGAGGGGCTGGCGCTTAGTAGGTTCTCAATAATTGCTATTGAATGAATGGATGGATAGTGAATGGATGGATAGATGGAGGGATGGATGGATGGTGGATGATAGATGCCTTGTGGATGGATGGATGATGGATGGTGGTTGGATGATGGATAGATGGATGGATGGTGGATAAAAGATGCTTTGTGGATGGATGGTGGATGGATGGGTGGGTAGATAGATGGAGGATGAATGGATAGTAGATGGGTAGTGGATGGGTGGATAGACAATGGGTGGGTATATAGTTGATGAATGATGGCTGTGCATCACCATATGTATGCAAGGGATGTGCATGTGGCAGGATGGGCTCTAGGCCAAGGAGCTCAACACCTGACACAGCTCCTAATTATTCTTTCTTGGGCACCATCTCTAATGACATAATTCCAACCTTTGGCATGTTTTCTCACATCCCTTTCCCTCCTTTTGAGCCCAGGCAGGTCTCAAAAGAGATTGATACTGTGCAGGCTGCATTAAGCTGACCCCTCCTCGCCTGCTGTGTGACTGTGAATGCCAGATAGGTGACCTCAGGGCTTTGGGTTTATCAGCTTTAGATGGATAATATTGGGACATAAGTCATAGGGTTCTTGTGGGCACCAAGAGCGTGACAGCATGCAGTTTTTTTTTTGTCTGTAGTCAACAGTATGTGTATGTTAATCATTAGCAACATCATTATGACATCAGTTTACATCCATCTGATTGGGGCCCAAGGGTCTTCTGCCAGGGGGACAGCAAATGTTTGATAACATTCTTGAGAACTATGGTTCTTACTCCCTTTTGTCTGCCTGCTGTTGACACAGCTTGAGGAGATCAGCATGAAATAGAATCACTGCGTATTTTCCTAGCTCGCGTGGTGGGACTCCTGGCTGCCATGGCAGTGAGCCAGAATGTTCAATGGTTGGCGGTGTGGGCTCATCCAGGGAGGGGGTAGCATGGGTCTGTATTTCCTTCCCTTCCATAGCTGAATCCTATCCCAGTGTATGGGATACACCACAATTTGTTTATCCAAACATATTGTAGATTGTGTTGATGGACATTTGGGTGGTTCCCACCTCTTGGCTATTGTGAATAGTACTGCTATGAGCATGGGTGTCTGTGGGCCTATTTGAATACCTGTGGCGATTCTTTCTGGGGTGAATTGTTTACATGCCTGTCTTTAGTTCCTAGGATTGGGATTTCTGGGTCATATGGTATTTTCCTGTTTAAAAATACTCCCCAGCCGTGAGGGTGATGGGGAAGGAGGCAGCATACCTCCAAGCCCTCATGGTTTAGGGTAGAGTTTATAGCTTGGATTTATCACCCACAGTTCACAAAAGCTCTGAGCACATGGCTGGTACCTGGCAGGTGCCCAACAGGTGTCTGATAAATGGAAGTGGGTGGGTGGATGGATAGATGGGTGGGTGGATGGATGGATGGATGGGTATATGGGTGGGTGGGTGGATTGGTGGATGGATGGATGGATGGATGGATGGAGGAATGGATGGACAGATGGACGGATGGACGGATGGATGGATGAGTGAGTGGGTAGTTGGATAGATGGGTGGATGGATGGATGGATGGACAGACGGATGGACGGATGAATGGATGGATGGATGGATGGATGGGTAGTTGGATAGATGGGTGGATGGATGGGTGGATGGATGGATGGATGGATGGATGGATGGGTGGATGGATGGATGGATGGATGGGTGGATGGGTGGATGGATGGATGGGTGGATGGATGGATGGACGGATGGACGGACGGACGGACGGATGGATGGATGAGCGGATGGGTAGTTGGATAGGTGGGTGGATGGATGGATGGATGGATGGGTGGATGGATGGGTGGATGGATGAGTGGATGGATGGACAGACGGACGGATGGATGGATGGATGGATGGATGGATGGATGGGTAGTTGGATAGATGGGTGGATGGATGGGTGGATGGATGGATGGATGGATGGATGGATGGATGGATGGATGGACGGATGGACAGACGGACGGACGGATGGATGGATGAGCGGATGGGTAGTTGGATAGGTGGGTGGATGGATGGGTGGATGGATGGGTGGATGGATGGGTGGATGGATGAGTGGATGGATGGATGGATGGGTGGATGGATGGATGGATGGATGGATGGATGGATGGATGGATGGATGGATCGGCAGGTGGACAGATGCATGGTTGGATGGGCTGGCCATCCTAGGTAGAGTGGTGATTGGAGGTGGCAGCTCCCTGAGAGGAAGGCTGCTCCTGAGGACAAGATCTTGCCAGTGTTTGTCTGGGCTGTTCAGCACCTCAGGGCATCAGGCTGGCCTCCCGGGCCCCCCATGAGTCCCCTGCACACCACTTACTCAAGGGCCTTTGTCCTTTTCCAGGGTGATATCCAGCAGCTGCTCTTCGTCTCGGACCACCGGGCAGCTTACGATTACTGTGAGCACTACAGCCCTGACTGTGACACCGCGGTCCCCGACACCCCCCAGTCACAGGATCCCAACCCGGATGAATACGTGAGTCAGCCCCAGTGGCTCCTGGCGGGGTTGTAGGCAGGCCCCTTGTGGGGGGCGGGGCAGGCAGGCAGGGGTGGAGGGATGCAGAAGTCACGGGACCCCTGTTTACAATAAACCCTTTGGGGAGAGCCAGAGGCTGGTGACCTGCGGTGTCCTGCTCACCCACCTGCCCGCGCCGGCAGCACCCCCATCAAGCCCACATGGCGCTCTCTCCACCGTTACCAAGTGGAGACCCTCCCACCTCCCGGCCACGGGTGACTCGTGTCTTCTGTCGTATTCAGCCTGCTGTTATCAGTCCCCTGGCCTCCTTCTGAGGTGACCAGCCAGAAGGGGAGGGGCCGGGCCCCTGCCCCAGTTCTGACGGTGACACCTTCCCTGTGCCTGTGGTCTAGGGGCCTCAGCGAAGGTCAGGGGTCCTGAGGGACAGTGGCATTGCCACGAGACCCCACGGTTTGGCTGGCTGTCCTGGCCTTCGTGGCCCTTGGTTCTAACGCGTCAGCACGTCTACACGTTTTAGGACTTGGCTTTCTTTGAAGGGGACCTGGGGCCCCCATTTCCTCCCTTGTGCTTCTCGTGGGGCTGATGCAGCTGCCCAAGGAGCTGGAGGGGGCGGAGGCCGGTTCGGGGCCATGGGTGGGTTCGCACCCAGAGAGGGGCCCCACTCTGGGGCCAGCTCTTCCTGGCTGGACCCGGATGGTGAGGACAGCAGGGCGGCTCCTGGTGGGGCCCTGCCCTCCTCACGCAGCCCCGATTCGCTCTCAGTACCCGGAAGGAGAAGGGGAAGGTGATGCCTACTACTACGAGTACCCCTACTATGAAGACACAGAGGACCCGGGCAAGGAGCCCGCCCCCACCAGCAAGCCCGTGGAAGCTGCTCGAGAGACCACAGAGATCGCCGAGGTCTGGGCGCTGCAGGCCATGAGGCCCCGGGGTGGGGATGGGAGGGTGCTGTGGCCACCGGGAGGTGGTGGGTGGATGCTCAGCAGGGGAGCGGTGACAGGGTGGCTGAGTGACAGTCTGTGCATCATGCCCCAGGGAGGCTGGGCAGAGGGCTTCCCTCCACGGCGTGTGGACAGCAGACGTGGGTGTGCAGGGAGCATGATGCTCTCGGTCTGGAGTCTTCCTTTTAAACCCGGAGACACGGGCACCTGGGTGGCCACTTGGTTAAGCGTCCGACTCTTGGTTTCGGCTCATGTCATGATCTCATGGCTTCATGAGTTCAAGCCCCACATCAGACTGTGCTGGCAGCACGGAGCCTGCTTGGAATTCTCTCTCTCCCTCTCGCTCTGCCTCCCCTTTTGGCTCTCTCTCTCTCTCTTTAAATAAACTAAAAAACATTGTTGAAACCTGGAGATACAGTTCGCCCTTGTCAAGTGCAGGATCAGGGGCTTTAGGCCACGGACCGTGGCCTCTGCGCCCAGAGGCCTCGTGGCCACGGGTCCATGCTGCAGGCCTGTCAAGCTCGAGGACTCCCTCTGACCCCCTGACTCCCACTCTGTTCCCTGCTCTCAGGAGCAGACCCCAGCCTCCACGGCAGCGCCCCCAGTGCCCGACCCCAGCGAGGCTGCCAGGAGGGAGGAGGACCCCGGCATCGGTGACTACGACTACATGCCCAGTGAGGACTACTACACGCCCGCCCCTTATGAGGACCTGAACTACAACGAGGGCTTCGAGAACCCCGACCTGCCCCCGGATCACGGCGCCAGGGCCGAGGTGCCCACCAGCACCACCAGCACCGCCAACGCCTCCAATGTAATTGCTTCCCTTCCACGTGGGCCTGGTGCAGGGGGGTGGGGGAGTGCGGATGTGGGGCTGGGGCTCCCTCTTTCCTCTGCTTCTGACCTCGGGGGTCCCGGACTGGCTCCCTGCTCCCCAGGCCACCAGCCTCCGGCCCCCAGGTTAGGGGTCCCTGACGTGCTGAGCCTGTCACACTGTATTTCATCTGCAAACGGGCAGAATGAGCCACATCTGCCCGGCATGTCAGGGGCCAGGTGGGGACGGTCGAGGCCGTGCGTGTTTGCAGTGTCCCTATCCGTGGCCGAGGGCCGGCCAGGGCGGGTACATGAGCTGCGGGTCTGGACCAGCAAGGACGCACGAGGCCGGGCTGTGCCGGCTACGACCGGGGGCTTTCCCGCCAGGCAGACCTGGCTCGCGGGCCGTCCAGTGACCTTGGGCAGTTTCGTGGCCTCTTGATCCCTGTCCTCATTCACGAGGTGGCACGTCCAAGTCCAGGGGGTGTTGGCAAGTTGTAGGATCAGGGAGGACTTCAGCGCAGGCCACGGCACACAGCGAGTGCATCACGGGAAACCCACCTCCTGATGGCCTTGAGTGGACACCTGGGTTCCGAAGGGACCTGGGGCGCGTTACCCCAAGACCGCGAGGCCCTGAGTGGAGCCCCTGAGGGCACCCACTTCCCCCCCATGCGGCCTCAGTTTGTCATGGGGTGCCACGGGGTTTGGGGTGACGTTGCCCCGCGGTGGGAGGGGAAGCTCGACTTGCCTGCCCCAGCACACCGTCTGGAGCCCCTGGGAGGCCCCCGTCCCTGGCGTCCCCAGGCTGTGGGCTGGGACCTGCCGTCCTCTGGTGACCCCCCACCCCTCCCCCCAGCCTGCTCCACCTCCAGAGGACGACCTGGAAGGCGAGTTTACAGAAGAAACTATCAGGAACCTGGACGAGACCTACTACGACCCCTACTATGACCCCACGGTCTCCCCGTCGGAGATAGGGCCAGGCATGCCTGCCAACCAGGACACCATCTACGAAGGGGTGAGGGCCGCGGGGCCCCTTCCCACCCGCCCGCGGCTTCGGGGCTGGGGCCAGGGCCAAGCCGGCCGTGAGCCTTTGGGATCCACTGTGGTGGGGCCTCACTGTCGCTCCCCTGCCTCACTCTCTGCCCATCTGTGTTCCGTGAACCCAGATCGAAGGACCTCGCGGAGAGAAGGGTCAGAAGGGAGAGCCCGCCATCATCGAGCCAGTAAGGATGCTGTCCTGTCCCCTCCTGGAGTCGGCGGGGGCGGTGGGTCACACAGGACATGGTCCAGCCCATGGGGCTCCTTGCGGATGCCGCCCATGCTTGAGGCGGAGGCTGGAGAAGCAGTCTCAGGCAGGGGAATGTTCTAGACCATGACTGAGGCACCTGGGATTCCGGCTGGTCAGACCTCTGTGCAACTCACGTGCAGCCTGAGCGCCTCACTCCGTGCCAACCGCCAGCACCGTGAGGAGAGGGACTCAGAGCCTGTGGGCCAGAGGGAGCCCCCCAGAGGGCCGGAGGGTTTGTGGAGTGCCTCTGGTCGGGCTGGGCAGGGGGTCCGCCTCGGACTCCGCTACTCCGAGGCCGACACTGCCGCTGCGTGGGGTTGGTTTGCGGGGACTGGGAGACTGGTGGAGCGTGGTGGGCAGTCCGGGAAGCCGCATCCAGGGATTCTGGTGAGCTCGGCTCTGCCGGGCCTGGGGTCAGGGGCAGCACGTGCAAGCGCCGTGATGCAGGGAGAGGCTGGTGGGTCGGGGCACAGGGCCCTCTCCCTGTCGCCAGGCCCTCTGCTGGGAGCTCCAGTGTCCTCCCCGTGGCCTGATAGCTGCGGGGCTCAGGGCGGAGCAGCCGCCACGTGATCGGCCTGGTGGGCGGGCCCTGCGGTCGCATGTGGTGGCCACAGTGGTGTGGGCCCGAGTGGGGGGGGCGCTGGCCGAGGTCCACCCTGCCACGTCGTCCGTGTGCCGGAGGGGAGGCCAGCGTCCTGCGCTGAGGCTGGTCACAAGGGGGAGCTGGGCTCAGGCTTCAGCCGCCATGACGTGCTTCCTGGTGGCTCAGCTTGGGATGGGATGTCGGGGCTCCCGGGGCCTTAGGACCTAAGATTCCTGGGATGGGGACTTTTGTGGCCTCCGTGCTCTCGTGCTCTTAGAGCCTCAGCTGCCGGTCTCCCCCAGAGGCACCTGAAGCCCCGTGGCCAAGGCAGATGGGACGTGGCCCATCTTGGGGTGGAGCAGGCAGTTGTGGTAGAGCCTGCCCGGCCTGGACCCGGCCCGGCCTGTGGAAGCGGGTGGATGATGGCCAAGGCAGCCCTGTGGGGCTGTGGTTTTCCCTCCAGGCCTGCCCGTACCCCTGGGCACACATCCTTTGCCCAGACTGAGAACATCCCCTTCTGGTACTCTCTGCGGGTCCAAGGGAGGCTTATCTGGGGGTGGGGCATGGGCGTGCAGGGGAAGGTGCGGGGGCGGGGGGGGGCGGATCTCCTGTGCCAGGCGGCCCATCTGGTCAGCAACATGAAAGATCCTGACACCAAGTCCGGGGAAAGGTGGGCGCGGGGGTGTGCATGGTGCCATGAGTGGCTTGGGGGGCACCTCGAGAGGACAGCGGGCATGCTGTGGCCACCCCAAGGCGCCCTGACCAGAGGTGAGCCATGCCAGTGTCACTGAGCCCGTGTTGCCAACTGCCCGTGTCCCCAGATACTCTGGTCCCTGAGTGCATCTGCTCTGGACTTGGGGCGCCTTTTGTGGGGTCCACACGACTTCGGAGGCAGGGCGTCCTGCTTGGGAAGAAGGTGGGGCCCTAGGGCAGGTAGAGGCTAGGCTGGCAACTTCTGGGCAAGCCTCCGGTCTGCGCACAGCCTCCGGGTGGGCCGCCTGGAAGTGAGCCATGGTGCTGTGGCTGCCAGGCTTCTGGGGTGGGTGGTGTGGGCAGACGAGGGGCTGAAGGAGCGACGGACAGCACATCTACACAGAGTGTGGGAAACCGAGGCATCCAGACGCAGTTAGGGAAGGGCTCCCTCCTCTGGCCCCAGCGTTCTGTCCTTCCTGGTCCCCAGCCTGTCCCACGTGTCCTCAGGCCTCGCTGGCCCTCAGGGACACCGTGTAAACAGTTGAAGTTTCTGAACCCTGAGATCCCTTCAGGGTCTCAGCTCCACAAACAGATGGCCGAGCCCTGGGAGCCGGCCGCGGCGGGCCTCGCGCTGACCGCTGACCGCAGAGGGCGGGGGGCCCCTGTTTCCGCTCTCCCCGCCCTGCCCCAGCGCCCGCCCTCTGGGGACGCGGACTCATCTCTCGGAAGCAGCTCCCTCTCTCCAGGCCAGGGATACGGCCGCTGTGCCCTCAGATCCACACGTCTTGCCATTCGTCAGCAGGGTCAATGGCCCCTCGAAAGGGCAGGAATCCTCTCAACTCAGGGGACTCAGGTTTATGGGCTCCAGGCTGTCCTGGGGCTCCAGGGACCGGTCCCCAGGCTCCGTGCTTGTGTCACCGGGCGGACATGCCTCGGAGGCTCTGTTCTCTGCTGTGCTTTGAAGGAAGTACCTGGTGGTTGTGCTGCGTGAGGGTGGTCGCAGCTTGAGCCCATCGCTCACAGGGACCCTCCCCGCTCAGGTTGGAGTCTGTTGGGTGCATGGACCCGGCCGGTGCCCTGCGGGGAGGTCCCTGCTCTCCCTGTCCCACGAAGGCCTCCTCGTTCCCCGATGGGAAGTCCGGGCTCCCCGTGCTGGGCTGCTTCGTCCCGGCCTCCAGCCTCTCTCCCTGCCCGGGCTCCTGTGAGATCTGCGGCCACAGTGCCCCAGCTCCCCGAGAGCAGTGGTCAGTGTGTCTGGGAAGACAGCTGTGGGCCCCGGGCCCCGCCATGGCCAGAGGTCTCTTGCTTGACCCCAGCCTGGTTCCTGAGCCTTCTCCAGCTGCCTTTGTCAGAGGAGGAAAATCTCAAGTACAAATAGTCCTGCGAGCGCACATCTGTGTAAACACGTGTTGGCAGCGACGGGGAGCCCTGGTGGGGAGGCTGGGGGTCAGGACCACCCCTGCGCGGGTCTGTGAGGCTCGACAGGCTTGCACCCTCCCCCGGGGAGGCCGGCCCAGGTTCCTCGGGCCACTGTCTGCTGTGGAAGCATGGTCCGGGCCCAGGGGTGGGGATGCGGTCCGGGCTTTCTTTCGTCTGGGGAAAAGGGGGTGCAAGGTCTGCCCGGGGGTCAGGGACATCAGCCCCCTGACCCTTGTTCTGGCATCTCAAGAATCAGTGGGGGGAAGGGCATGGCTCTGTTGTTGGCCCTGAGTGTGGCAGAGCCTAGCTGGTCGTGGGAGCCCCAGATACTATCCTGCTGTGCTCTCAGAGAGCAAGGCCCCGTGGGGGGCGGAGACCCCTTCCCTCCGGCGAGGTTGCTCACTGCCTCAGAGCCCCCTGCAGCAGGGTGAGACACAGAGGGCACTGGAGCTCCTGGCCCCGGCGTTGACAGCAGAGAGGTGGCTCCTGGCCTGGGAAGGGGCTGGAAGTGGATGGCCAGGAGCAGGGGGGCACGACCCAGGCCAGGGAGCTCTGTCTGCTGACGCTCTCTGCTATGCACCGGCCCGTCCAGGGGCCAGGCTGACGGGGGTGGGGCAGGAGGTCTTATCCCCACTTGGCTGTAAGGGGCCCGTGCTGTGATCTCGGGAGGGACGGAGTCCTGGGGTCTCAGATGCTGTTTCCTTCCTGTCTTTTCCAGGGCATGCTCATGGAGGGGCCGCCGGGCCCCGAAGGCCCCGCAGTGAGTGTCGTGTTGATTTCCCGGGCCTGCGGGAGGTGCTTGGGATGAGGGGTTGGTGACACCCCTTAAGGGTCCTGGATGGAAAAGAGGGGGCACCCACTGTCCTTTGCAGACCCCCCCGGGGCCCAGTGCTGCCCTGGCCCACCCCCACCCTCCCCTGAAGCGAGGGGGGGTTGAGGTATTGCCCTGTGGCCGTCCCTTTGAATTCTGTCCTGATTTTATTTTTAATTCCAGGGTCTCCCAGGACCTCCGGGAACGATGGGGCCCACTGGCCAAGTGGGTGACCCTGGAGAAAGGGTAAGGGTCCCGCATCTGTGGGTCACATGCTCTGCGGGCTTGTCCACACGTCCTGCTCCGTGGCTGGTGTTGCCTTCGCGTGCGCACGTGGCAGCGGCACCTCGGCGTCCTTCTCCAAGCTGCCCCGGCCCCTCCCCCCTCCCCCCACTCCCTTGTGCTTTGGACATTTAGGGAGCTCGTGGCACCCACGAGGCCGAGGGCCGGCCGGGCTGCTGTGGTCGGCTCACAGGGGGCCTGGTGGCCTGCGTTGGTGGGCCGGTGACAGCAGTGCTGTCCTCCTCACATGGGATCCGACCTGCATCCATCCTTCCGCCGTGTGCGAGCCTCTCGGGCCTTGATTTCCCTGTGGTCTGTCATCCCTGTTGGAAATCAAGCTACAGAGTGGGAGGGACTCATTCCGGGGCCTCCCTCTGTCAAAAGAACATGTCCCTGGATCCTCCCCAGTCATAGGGACCCGTCCTGGGTCTCCCCAGTCAAAGGACCCCTCCCCCAGGTCCCCAGAGCAAAGGGCCGTGTCCCCAGGCCAAAGGGACCCTTCCCAGGTTGCGGCAGTTGAGGTGGAAGCGGAGCCACAATTTCGCTCTGACACCTAGTGGGGCTTTGGGGTACTGCGGCTGTGGGGTTCTCGCCCAGCTTGTCATTTCTTCTCTCCATTTTCTGGCGGGTCTGATGAGTATGGACGTGGGCACAGTCAGATAGTAATCGGGGGCCAGGTTGTGGGCGGGAGAAACCCGGAGCATGTGTGTGTCCTGATGGACAGCCATCCCCTGGGCCCGGCGCACTGCCCGGAGCGCGTGGCCCTAACGGTCAGGGCGGGTGTGTGGATGGGGTATGGCGGCTGCCTGGTCACATGGAGAGGCGGCTGGGGTCTGCTTCCGAGGCAGCGCGGCGGGCAGTCCGTGAGGTTTGGGGGTCGGACTCTGGAGCGGCACTCAGGCCACGTGGCAGGTGCCCGCCGGCAGGGCAGGCAACCGACCAAGGAGGTCACGGTGAGTGGCATTCTGTGCGGCGGGGTGACTGCTGGGGACACATCACATGGGCATCAAACAAGACGGCCTGCCATGGCTGGTGGCCTTCCCACGCCTCCTGGCCTCGCCGCCCGTGGCCCCTCCCCTCTGCCACACAGCCGTGACTCCAGACGGGGTGGGGGAGGGAGGGCGCTGCCCTGCCCTGACCCCGGGACCAGACCACTTGGGTTCTGCTGTCCCTGCCCCAGCTCGCTCTGGGGGCCCTTTCCCCGAAGATCTGTATGGCCGAGCGTGCCCACAGGTGTGCCTGAGCCCAGCCGTCAGCAAGGGAGGACCTCACGGCACGGCAGATGCCGTCTTCTCCTTCGATGCAGGAAAGGACACTGTCCGTGGCACGCGTGGGCATTGATGGACCGTGCTCAGCCTCGGCGTTGGTGCCAGTGTCCATCCCTTCATCTGCCATCCGCCCGTCACCCAGTTCCGTGCACTGTCTGGCACCGAAGACTCTTCCCCACTCGGCCCCTGCCTTTGGGCTGAACCTGGCTCGGGGCCGGTGGTGGGTGGTCTGGCCAGTGCCGTGGGCGCTGCAGCCGACCCAGCGGCTCTGTTAGAGGGGCCAGGCCACTGACAGTGGGACATCGTGGGTTTAAGCAACTGGTGTCTCTTAAATTCAAGCCAGGATCCACGAGCATGGGGAAGGCATGCTGTCCTTGGAGTCAGGGGCAAACCTGCAGCCCATTCAGCCTCCTCGGTTCCTTTCTAAGTGGGGAGTGAGGGGGCAGACTCCAGGAGCCGAGCTCAACCCATCCTCTGGGCCCTGCGTAAGCCGTCCTTGTCCAAGGGGTTGTCCCTGCTCAGAGCTCAGCATCCTCTCTCTGCCCAGATCTCCTGGATTTCTGCTAATCAGCTGGCAGAGAGCACTGGATGCAGAGTCAGGATCCTACACTGCCACCTGCCAGTAGGGAGACCTCAGAATCCTGTGTAGGATGAAATACTTTCCCTCCATTCCTCTTAGGTTCAATGATGGGGGCTTGTAAATTAAACTGACAAAAAGACAGCTTTGATAGGCTAACAGGCCCACACTTTTAATACTGTTTTAAGTTTTACACATATGGAGACTTGAGTGCTTCTGTACCATTTCAACCAAGGGCGATAAATCGTGGGAAAGTGACTAGGAAATATATGGGGAAAGTAATGGAAAATAAGGGTCATTTTAGTAAGAGATGCTTGTGCAGACTTCTCTCAGTGCCCGGTCTCCCGGTCTCCCAGTCTCCAGTGATCAGGACTGCCCTCATCCTGGTACAGATGGGGGTGGTGGGTAATTCATGCTCCTTCCCGAAGGGAAACTTACGCTCTTCATTTTAGGCAGGGGAGGGGAGGACGGAGAGCTTTTGTTGATACTCGGTTATCGTCAGCTCGAAATCATCTTTAGAGCAAAGTGGCACGTTTTGGGGGTGCATGTTCTGATCCCCTTCACCTGCTTGGCCTCATTTGCTTGTCTGTACATGAGAGAGTTTCACTAGGTGGTCTGGAGGGGTCTCCCCTCCCTCCCAACTCCAGTTCCACCATTTCCATGTCAGAGGGGAGAGGGGACCTGAGCTGTCACCCCGTCCAGCGGCCCTTAGTGATAGATGGCCCGGCCCAGGTGGGCCGAGGGAAAGCTTGTGAAGGCCATGGGGGGCGGGGAGGGGAGGCAGAGTTGGGCTGGATCTGGGCCGGGTGTCGTGGCATGCGGGTGGGCAGGCCCCCACTTCACACTCAGGCTCAGAGGACAGGACAGTGAGAGTCCCGAGGGCACTGCTGGACCCCACACAGGGCAGGCTGCTCCCCGGAAGCCCAGATCCAACATGCAGGTTTCCTATCAGGACACCCCACGTCCAGAACGGGGGCCCCTTCCCGCTGGGGCGCCTCCCTCCCTGCAGAATCGGATGCACTCAGTGCCCTCTGGGGAGGGAGCTGCGCGGTCTGTGACGAGCCGCCCTGCAGTGGGCCATTTGGCAGCCCCCCCCGCCCCCCCCGACTTCTTTATGTTTCTAGGGCTGGGATTTCCAGTGGGGTTTTGCTGGAAGGTGCGTTCTGTGCCGTACAAAGCTCGCAAGCCCTGCCCTAAGGCGGTCAGTCCCGCTGCTCCCACAAGAAAGCTTGCGTCACAGGTGGCGTGTGGTGTCCCCAGTGCCACCGCGGGGACAGCACCCCACCGCGCCACCGCTTTCGCCCCTGCTGGGCTGGATTTACACCCAGTGCCTGGAGTGGACACAGGCTGGTTCCCTGGCACCTGGATCGGCAGCTTCCACTGCGATTGTGCGAGGCTCCGTGAGGGAGGGAGGCTGGTGGGACAGGTCTGTGATGCCCCTCCTGGGGCGCATGCCGATCTGTCCTCTCCCAAGCGCTCCTAAGGGTCCCCTGGGGGCCGCCATTCAGCCCAGCACACCTGGGTACTCACGTCCTCCCCACGGCCGGGGACGTCTGCGCTTGTGGGCCTTCCTCCGCGGAGGGCACGCAGTGCATCCGGTTCCGCAGGGAGGGAGGCGCCCAGTGGGAAGGGGCCTCTGTTCTGGACGTGGAGTGTCCCGTGAGCCACAGTGGCACGGCCCTGTGCCGGGCGTGGTGGGCCATTGTCCTCTGTGACCTGGCTGCTCCCCCTCTCTGAGACTTCGCTGAGCGCTGACCAGGCCTCTTCATTCTCCTTGTTAATCCCTTGAGCCCCCTGGAAGCCAGAAGGACCCCCTTTCGTACCAGGGAGCTGGGATGCTACTGAGGGAGGGCAGGCTGGGGTTAGAAACGGTCCTGGGCACATCTCCGTGCCTCCGTCGAGCTCTGGCAGCCTCCTGGGGCTTGTAAAGCCTCCACGGGCACAGCTCGGTCTTTCCTACCCACGCCCGCTCCTGCTCCGGGTGGTGGGCTTGGCCGGGGCAGGTGGGGTGAGCGGGGTGAGTGAGAAGGGTGCCCACCGGGGGCGCAGCTCCTGATCCCCGTTTTCAGATCCGCTGCGGAAGGGACTGAAAACCACCACACCCACGCTGCAATTGCACACTTACTGGGGATCTAGAGAATTTGTGCTGTGTTCCTCTCCTTTTCTAGGTCTTTCTAAGAGCCAAGCAAAAATATCTCAGCGTAAGGACTCCTCTGGCTCTTGGGGCCCCTCTCCCGACACGCTGCTGCCTCTTTTGGGAGGAAGGGCTCAGGCGGCGGCTTGCTGCCTCCACACACACCACAGGCCGCAGGTGGGCCCCGGGCGGCTTGCCTGGTGCTGAGCGGGGCCTGCGGGCTCGGCCGTGGGCTGGATCTGCAGCGGAGCCGCGGCTGCTGGCAGCCTGGCCGAGGACCTGAGTGCTCGGTGCCCTCGTCTCGGTGCCAGAGCCGGGCCAGCACAGCCTCCAGAAACCCTGGTGAAACGACAGTGATCTCTTAACGTAGAAGCGGCCGCCTCGTATCCCTGCCTGGCCTGGGTGTCACCTGGAGCCTTGCCCTGTCACTGCTTTACACACTCTCCTCCCACCCAGTTCGGGCACTGACTTCGGGGCCGGGTGATCAAGTGACACAGAAAAGGTGTCATTTCTTATTTCACTTTTAATCCGGCGGCTGGAGCTGAGCAGGGTCCCTGCGACCCTCAGCTTACCGGAGTGTCCCTCCATGTCCCACACAGCCATGTAACGGAGCCAGCCACACCGGGGGCCCGGGTTCAGTCTCCTGAGAAATGGAAAGGTGGCTTTCATGTGGCCCCACCTTCCAGCTCGGGGGACGGAGCCCTTATGTTACAGCCCTGGGCACCTGGCAAAGGTCTGCTGGCTGCCTTTGAAGCAGTCGTGGGTTGGCTGGCTGTGCGGGACTCACATCACATCTTACAGCTTTGGATGGATTCGTGGGGGCGGGGCATTACCTTTCCTCCAAACCCCCTCTTCCCTCCAGCTTCCAGGTTGTTCTCTGCCCATCCTGGGCACCGTGCCCTGGTTGTGGTTGAGAAAGTGAGGGCTTTCGGAGCCCGAGCAAGGCTGTACCCAGTGGCTCAGAAAGAGCTGGACGGAGGACAGTGGGCCCCCGGCCTCCAGGGCCACACAGGTCCATGCACACCAGGGACACACCGTGTAGCTGGCATCTTGTGCGGGGAGGCACGGGCCCTACGTCTAAAATTGGGGTTTGATTTGGGACCTACTCCGAGGCGGAAGGCTCAGCAGCAAACAGCTGTTGGCGCCAGATTCCCAGGCAGAAGCCAAGCGCCAAGGCCCTTCTAGATTTTCTGCTTTTAAACGTGCTTTCTCTGAAGCAAGGATTTTTTTTCCGAGATGGAGGCGAGGGCAGGGTGGCTGCGTCCATCAGCAGTACAAGTGCGTGTAGTCCTTTGACCCAGCGGTCACATGCCCTCCGCCAGCCACGGTGCGTGCGTCCCCCGTCCCCGCATGCGCAGTTTCTGGCCTGGAGACCCCTGCGGGGAGGCAGGGGCTTCCGCTTTCCGTCGTGTAGATCCCCGCGTTCTACACATCTCACGAGGACGGAGACCACTTCTGTGGTAAACCATGGAAGGAGAGAAGCCAGTGCAAGCCCAGGCACAGATGGTTCCCAGAGAGCCACGCCTTCTCCGTCTTCGTGGCTGGGAACCGGGCACTGATCTCCCTGCCCGCTTGGAGCCCGGCACTCTGGCGGTGACCTTGCCCGCGCGAGGTCGGCCGTGTTGCCGAACGCAGGACCCAGTGCCCGCCGTCGTCCTGGCTGCGGCCCGTGGGAGTCCCTTTGCACTGGGAGGAGGGCGTCAAACCTCTGTCTGTCTGCAGAGCAGACTTCCTCTACCTCAGGCTGGGCAGGGATCTGCTGGGATTGGTGGAGAGACCGGCTGGTAAAACTTTTTAAAAATGTAAATAAACGGTCTCATCTGGCTTACGTCTGTGTCCGGAACGGCTGGGATCAGTCTGGAGACTCTGCAGGAAGGAGTCTGCCTCCAACCTGCTTTGGAGACCAGGTTAACGGGGTGTGTGGAGGCCACAGTGGCATCTGGACACACAGGCTCCTGACATTGCTCAGAGGGGCTTGTGGCCCCAGGACATCCCCGTGTTCACTGGGGTCCCTTGTGTCTGTCCGAGCAAACGGACACTTGGCCCTCCTTCTGTGTGAGCAGCCGCACGCCTGGTGTGGGGGCCGGGTCGTGAGGGGCGCCGCGCTGGCAGGTGGGGGAAACGGGCAAACGGCCTGCCCCGCCCCCTTGGTGTGCAGGCCTGAGGGAGGGGGCGCCCCGGATGGTGGGGGCCCTGGCGCCGCCAGCTGCCCGCCCCCGGGAGCGCCCCCTCTGCTGCCCGCATTTCGGTCTCCCACCTCTCTCCCTGCACATCCCATCCAGCGCAGAGCCTCGCCCCTCCTCATCCCTCTCCCCCTGAAGCCTTTCCTTGTCCTCAGCCCACAGCAGGGCCCTTCTCTCCTCTGTGCTTGGGTTCTGGAACATTCCGCCCCATGGGGGTGTTGCTGTTCTCTGCTTGCCCTGTGCTTGCCCTGTGTGTTTCCCCGCGGGCCACGGCCCTGGCCTCCTTCCCACCCCTGTTGCGCCCTGACCGGCTGTCTTGGGCCCTCTGTCCACAGGGTCCCCCTGGACGCCCAGGCCTTCCAGGGGCTGACGGGCTGCCCGGCCCTCCTGGCACCATGCTCATGCTGCCCGTGAGTATTCGTGGGGGTGGGGGGTGGGGTGCACGGCGGGGTGGGTGGGTTCAGGGCTCAAAATTTGGTGGAGAGGGGACCCTGGGCTCTGCATCTGAGGGGGACCGTCCCCTGGCTACAGGTTGCTCCGACGTGGGCCAGCTGTCTCCTAGAAATCTGGGGCTGTTTCCAGGGCCCCGAGTGGACCCCGGTGGTCAAGGCCTCCGGCTCTCTGCTGGCGGCCTGGCCGTCTGTTGTCAGACTCCCCCTGCCCCTGCTGGGACCCACGTGGGCATGCTGCCAGCCAGTCCCTTCTTGCACCTGACCTGCCCTCGTGGGGCCACCCTCTGCCCAGAGAGCCCCGGGAGGGTGTGTGTGGTGGCCCAGGGCAGCGCCAGAGGCCGGGTGCAGCTGAGGGAGACCCTGCGTGGAGCTCGGAGCTCGGCACCCTCAGTGCCTGCACCCGCCCTGGGCCCTTGGCTCTTTCCTGCCATCAACAGGGGCTGTGGGGTCTCAGAGTGAGATTTCTCAGAAGCTGGAGGGTCTTTCCAGATTTGGGCGGGTCTCCAGGTGGCCCCAGGGCTGAAGCTGGCAGGTGGGGCTGGGGCCAGACCTCCCCAGGGCTCTGCTGTCCCCAGGAGGCCCTGGGGCCCCGCAGGGGCACCCACACCAGCGTACCCTTGGTGACCCCCCCGTCTTGCACCTGCAGTTCCGCTTCGGAGGGGGCGGTGATGCCGGCTCCAAGGGACCCATGGTGTCGGCTCAGGAGTCGCAGGCCCAGGCCATCCTGCAGCAGGCCCGGGTAAGTGATGTGCGGTGCCTGGAGGGGACAGGGCCCAGCTGGGGGGGGAGGGCGCCTCCTGGGGGCCCAGGACACTGTGTGAGTGTGCACTCACCCGTGTCTAACTGGGGGCCCAGGCGAGCACTGCGAAAGGTCGGGGAGGCATCTCCGGGCTTCCGCATCTATGCTGTGGGCCCAGGCTCCTGGATACAGACGTGCAGGGCCACCTGCTGCCCTCCCCTGGGCTCTGGGGAGGGAGACACAGACCCTGAGTGGCCCCGCAAGGGCTCCTGGTGACGGGGCGGGGCCGAGATCCAGCCTCCGGGGCAGCATGGCGGGCCCCCAAGCCCCTCGCCTGGCCTGGGGGTCTGGAGGGTCGTTTGCTTCCTGATGGCTCTGCTCTCTGCAGATCAGCTGCTTGGTGAGCCCAGGTTTTACCTGAGGGCTGGCTGCCGGGGACAGGAGTGAACCCCGTCCCTGAGGCGGGTGGGCGGCCGGTCCGTCAGTGGGACACTGCCTGTGACGGGGCATCTCGGGAAACTGCTAAGGAAGCCCTCGTTGGGCAGCATCTATGTGGCTCTGGCACAGTGGAGGTGACGTCAGTGATCCGAACGCGCAGATAATCCCGGGACAACTGAGTGTGTGGCTGTTGCCATGGAATAGATTGTCCGCGTGATGCCGCGTGGTGCGTGACAGACCCCACTGCCCACGGCGGGAGTGACTGACTGGGCCTGCCCGGCTGGCCTTTTTCTCTGTTTTCATGGAAGCCAAGTGGGTGGGGGGCTTATAAGATTTTATCATTGAAACAAATCTTTTACAAAATGAAAATGGGGGAAACTGAGTCATAGGACAGGAGGAGAAAAGATCCTTTTGGGAGAGGAGGCTGAGCTGGGCTGTGGCGGGAGGGGTGGTCATACTCTGGGCAGGGGGAGGGCTGGCAGAGCCGAGGCCGGGTGTCTGGGCGAGGCCTGCAGGCGGCTGCGGCTCCGGCAGGTCCCTCATCTGGGATGTACTTACCTCGCCACCCGGAGGCCCCCAGTCACTGCCCGGCTGCCAGCGAGTGCCAGCAGTGTCTTGGGGGACAATGAAATGCTGACCCGGGGCATGGGTGCACAGGTGACGTTCACACCCACTGCTGCCCAGGGGGGAGGCTGCGTTTCAGGTTCACTCCTGGGGGTGAAGGGCTGAGGCCCGCCCTCCGGGTATGGGCACTAGCTGGAGAGGAAGGAGGAGGTCGGCACCCTTGGGGGTGGGGCACGCCGCCCCCGGGGTCCACCTGCGCAGCCTCCATGCTGTTCGTGGTTGGCTCAGAGGCCCCAGAGGAGCCGAGGTGCCAGGTTCCTGGAGCTCCATCTGACCGCCTCCCGCAGAGGCTCCCGGCTTTGTCCGTTCCCGCCGGGCCTTTCCTGCGTGGCTGAGCCCCACTTGTTAGGACCCGTACCCCCGCCTGTTTCTCAGTGTCCCCCGTTTTCTCTTGCAGCTGGCATTGCGGGGGCCAGCCGGCCCGATGGGTCTTACTGGGAGGCCCGGCCCCATGGTGAGTCCTGTGTGTGGGGGGGTGGGCATAGTGGGGGAGCCATCGGGGGGCTTGGGGGGGTGTGGGGGGGCATGGGGGGCGTCCTCAGCCAGTCCCTTTTGGCTCCCAGCTCACCCAGAGAGAGCGTACTTTAAGCTCTTACCAACCACTAGTTACGTCGGTGGTACCCCAGTGGGATTGGGGGCCCTAGGCAGGGAGCTCTGAGCCTCTTTCTGGGCTGGTGTCATGCTTTACAGTTGTTTCCAAAGTCAAGAGCACTTCGGCAAGGTGGGGAGACAGACCCAGGATCCCCGGCCCTCCCCTCCCCAGCTGCACAAGCTGTGTGTGGTGTGTGCTCAAGCACACTCAGGGCCGGCAAATGGGAGCCTCAGGGAGTGCAGGTGGCCTTTGTCGTTTGCAAAAGACGGAGGATTTAAACACCCCGACCCCCGTTCCCTGGGAGGGAGGCACTTGGCTCTTAGCCCCAGGTCTGCACTCAGCATCTTCCCCGGCCGTGCGGGCTTGGGGCTGCTTCCCTCCACCTGGGGCTCCTGCCTTGTCAGGAGGATGCCCACTCGCTGCCCTGAGCTGCGGGCTGTGCCAAACCCCAGTTGGATTCATCCTGGGGAGAGAAGCAGACTCTGTGTTGGGTTTTCTGGCTCTTGTGCTATACGCTCCACTGTCCCAGAATTTTGTTCAAAACTCAGAGGAGATGCAAAGCCTGGAAGGTCCTGCTCCTCCCCCGGCTCTGTCGCAGGCGGGCTGGGCTCCAGGGACTGAGAGCTCTGCAGGTTCTCAGCGGGAGCCCCGCCCCAAGGCATGACCTCTTCCCTGGTGTCTGTCTGGTGAGCTTTTCTAACCCAGGCCGTGTCTCCCTAGGGCCCTCCAGGGAGCGGAGGTCTGAAGGGCGAGCCGGGAGACATGGGGCCTCAGGTATGTGGGTGCTTCGTCCTTGCTCCTTGAAGGGGTGTGTCCTGTGTATGGGAGGTGGTGACAGCAGGCATGGGGCGGGGGGGGGCGGTGCTGTATTTCTTCAGGGAAGCAGGAGGGACCCGTGGCTTTGTGCACAGCTTTGAGGGACAGGGACAACCTCTGTCTGCAGTGGGACTTGCTGGCTGTGCCCCAGGCAGCAGACCCTACACCCTGCCTGGTGCTGCCTGCTCAGGAGACGGCGAGCCACCGGCTGGTTGAGGAGCATGGGGACAAGGCTTTGCTTTTGCATCTGAAAAATATGGATGCCCCCTGACACTCTGTCCTCTCTGATTGCGGACAGGGCCCCCGAGGAGTACAGGGCCCGCCTGGCCCGGCTGGAAAGCCTGGGAGAAGGGTAAGTGTCATGGCTCTGTGGCCACAGCTGGGTCCCCACGGGGGCGGGAGTCTGCGGGCGGTCTGCTGCACCCCCACTGCCAGGCTCGGCCGGAAGCTTGGTTGGCCATTCTCCTCCCATCGAAGGGCAGCTGTGTTCACGGGCGGGATCCCCTTGCCTGGGGGCGTGAGCCCAGCCGGAGGCTTCTCTGTGTCCTGGGGCAGGTGAGCCTCACTCGGCTCTGCCGCCCTGGCCTCTGGCCTCTGGTTTAGTTTAACATTTTTAATTAAGGCACCTTCCCTGGCCCTTTGGGGACAGGCCTGGAGAACACAAAAGGGCTACTGGGTCTCACGTCTTTGAGGCAGCCTTGCGTCTCCAGAAATGGCCTCGGTTTGGGGGAAGTGTCCTGCGGCTCACCTGGCCGGCCGGGACTCCGGGAGGGAGTTCTTGTTGGGGGGAGGGGGGCGTTCGTTTCCATGCGGCCATGGCTGCCGAACGGGACGAGGCTTTACAGCTTCCTGTAAATTCGTACAAAGTAAGCCTCACTGTGCGGACAGGCCCAGTGACCCCCGCGTGCTCTGACGCGTGGATCTGCTCAGCCGGACACGGCTCACAGCGCGTGGGGGTCGTCCTGGTGCAGGTGTGAGCCTCTCGGGCTGTGCTGAGCCCTGGGCCGCCCGGGCCGCGTGCAGACTGTGTGGGACGGGCAGGACACCTCGCCAGTGTGGGCGGGAGGCCCTGCGGGCGGTGCTGGCCTGGCCCCTGCCCTGAGGGGCGCCGGCCCGCGCTGGGTGCTGGCCGTCAGGGGTGGCTGCAGGTCCTGCCGTGTGCTGGCATGGCGTGAAATCATGTGCACTGTTCTGACCAGTCTCCCTTGATTTCTGCGGGGGGCCGGGGGGTCCATCCGTGTCTCCGCTCACCTGGCTTGGCTTCAGCATTTTGCCCCAGAGCTGCGTCGCTTGGGCGCCTTTCCTGAGGGGACTTTTCATCCCTGGCAGCTCCGTGTAACCTTTAACCCCGGGGGGGAACAACCATCTCCTTGTGGCCCACCTGGGTCCCCGGCTCCTTTCTTCTCTGCTGCTGCCCTGTCTCCCCTGTGCTTTGAGGCCAAAAGCTGTCTCTTTCCAAATGTTCTCGGTGCCCGGCGGTGAGTGGCCGGGCAACGGCCTCATTCGATGGGGTGCACGTGGGACGAGGAGAGGAGAGAAGGGGTTCATCTGGGCCAGGTCTCTATACTCAGCTGGCTGACTCGTTAGCCGAGTCCCTGTCCCCGTCCAGGTGGCCTCAGGCCTGGCGGGGCTCTCCCGGGGTGACTGAGGGGCCTTGTAGTGGGCCCGGCCCTTCAGCCCCATGGCCGGTTGGGTGGTGGCCGTGGGCTTGGCCTTGGCACCCTCCTGGAAATAGCGGAGATAACGGCCCCAGGAGTGGCCTCCACGGATGGAGTGTCACTCACAGTGGCAGCTTAGCGAGGCAAGTCGCCGCTGTGGGGCTGTTTCTTTTGTGGCCGATTGGACTGGCCCTGGGCCCTTCCTTTCTGTGCCTCTCCGGTCCGTAATCGGGTTCGTGAACGGTGGAAGGGAGTGGGCGGCAGATTGCTGCAGACTCACAGAGCTGCCTGGTCTCTGTCCTGTGGCCTGGAGTCACCCCCAGACACAGAGAGGCGAGTGGCATTGTCTCCACCCGGCACTTCACACGGCGAGGCTCTGAAAGACCGGAGCCACGTGAGAGGTGCATGGCAGCCCGGGACCCCGGCTCCAGGCCCTCCGGACCAGCCTGGCCACGTGGGGCCGTGTGACTCTGCCTGGCGTCGCGGGAAGCCACGACTCAGACCCCGGTGACACTTTCTTTCCTGTGTTCCAGGGCCGAGCTGGGAGTGACGGGGCAAGAGGGATGCCTGGACAGACCGGCCCAAAGGTAGGCTCTCGGCCTCCTGGCGTCTGCACCCACGGCCGTGGTCATCTTCTTCACATTGATGGCACGGCCAACGTGTCAGTGGTGTGAAGAAGGTCACTGTGGTGACAAGTAATGAGTTGTGACGTTCACGCTCATCTGGGGAGGGCCTTGGGGGTGAGGAAGGCTCTGCTTGGGTCAGTCTCTCAATGGGGTCCTTTTGGGTCCAGTACCAGGGCTGCCGGGGTGAATGTCACAAGCAGGCATGACCATTGCAGCTAGTTTGCTTAGGGGGCAAATCAGCTCCCTTCGAGGGGGTGTGAGCATGGGGGGCGCGTGGAATCCTAGCTCTGAAACCCATCTGTGAACGGGTAGACAGTAAGATCGCGCACACGGGCTGACGCGAGGAATGCCAGGTGCACGGGGCAGGGAGCCTTCCTGAGTGGTTTTGGGGTGTCTACTCCTGGGCATTGCAGGGAGTGAGTAGACATTGTATGGGGGGAACGCGGGGCTCACCTGCGCACGTGAACAAAATCTGGCCAGGGGCACCAGCCGGGGCTGCGGAAACCCCACTCCCCATCTCCTCCCTCCATTGCCATGGCACCGCATGGCTACCCCTCTGCCCCCGCATTGGTGCGAGCCCCCCACCCCATCTATGACCAGCCCTTGTCTCTCAGCTCTGGCAGAGATGCCCAAGGCTGCGCCTGGTGCCTCTCTCCGGTGACGGGCCCAGCAGCTGTTGCCTGGAGGGGTGGACTTGTACTTGACCTCATCCACGTGCTTTGTAACGTCCACGAGGCAGGGCTCTGCGCCTCCGGCTCCAGGAGGCCGCCTGGGGGGCCCAAGGGCTAGTGCCGGCCCAGCAGTGACGAGTACGTGCTCCCATGTGTGCCAGGCCGTGCCGGGCACTGGGGGTGTAGCAGTCAGTAAGACGGGCATGCGCAGCGGTGTGCCAGTGCTCACCCACACATCAGGGCTCAGAGTCTGGCTCCAGGACCAGAGACACCTCTGTGTTTGTAGCCTTTTTCAGCGTTTGAGGGAAAAGGCCTGGGGAGCACAGAGCCAGGGGCAGCGGAACGTGGGGGGAGCAGAGGCCTGTGGCTGCCACAGCAGCGGTCCTGGGGCCCGGGATGCAGAGACGCCGCCTGAAGTGCGGCCCAAGGAGGGCGGCCAAGCTGTGTGCGGCGGCGGCTCTGAGCAGGCTTTCTGTCCCCTCAGGGTGACCGCGGCTTCGACGGCCTGGCTGGGCTGCCGGGGGAGAAGGGCCACCGGGTAAGTGTTCCCCGTGTGCGTGTTTCCGGCGCAGAGGTCCTGATGGCTTCTGTGCAGCGGGGGTGCTTCCGGGGAGATCCTTCCAGAAGGCCCGGGGTCTCTGGTGTGGGGCCAGAGTGCCCCCATTCCAGGGTGGCCTCTCAAGACGGTCACGGAAACCAATGCCAGCGTGACACCTTTGTCTGCGGAAGGTCAGCCCAGAGAAAGCGGGTGTCTGCTACCGGGGCCCAGAAAGCCCAGGTGGCCCCCATTTCCGGAGCTGCCGAGGACCCCTTGCACCACTGAGCTGGAGACTCGGGGGGCTGGTGGCAGCTCCGAGGCCGAGGCCGGGCGCGTGCTGTGGCCCGGGGGTCCCTGCTTCCCTCCTGGGCGGGGCGGCCTCCGTGGGCCGGCTCTTGGCTGCTCTCCAGTCGTTTTCCGCCTTACCTGTTCTCTTTGGAGCAGACCCAGCCTCTTTTGCACTTTGGCCAGTGTGGACACGCAGGCACGTGTGTGAGTGTGGACACACACCAGCACACACGCCTGTTGACGATGTGGGGAGGGTTTGCCCATCCCGCTCCACAGCCCCATGGGGAACGAGGTGGGCTTGCCAAGGCCGTGTCATTCACGCTCTCCAGCCATGACGCGGAGACTGGAACGAAGGCAGCTGTCAGGCCTGTCCATTTGACGGATGAGCGCACATTAGACACCGACTGCATGCGAGGCCCAAAGCTGCCAGAGGTGGGAGGTGGACCAGCGCCGACCCCCAGGACACTCACGGTCCAGGATGGCAGCCCTTTCTTGGGGACCCTGTGGGGCTGGCGCTGGTCCCCTCCTTCCCACAGAGAAGCTGGGAGGGGGCCGCTCAGACCCCACCGCAGGGCCCGGGGGTGCCGCCTGCCCATGGGAACGACCCTGCCTCCCGAGACCAGTTCCCAGAAGCCACCACCTGTCTTACCGGGAGCCTTCAGGGGGCTCCAGACTTCTGGTCACAGTCACGGGAAGACGGATGGCATTTGAGACAGTCGGGGGCGACTGTTCCGAGTGCCTGACGCTGACCCCGCTTGACATCCTAGGGTGACCCTGGTCCTTCTGGCCCACCTGGACCTCCGGGAGATGATGGAGAACGGGTGAGTGCCCGCCCGCCCGTCCCCTCGGTGGTGGTGGTGGGGGGGGGTCCTGGGCCAGAAACCGCCAGGAAACGCTGGCAGCAGTGGGACTGGTTGTCGGGGTGCAGCGTGCATCTGGGGAAGGGGCGGCTGTGGGTGGGTGACGCCGTGGGATGCGGGGTGGGCCGGGCCGCACGCCCCTCCTGAGAGATGCCAGGTGGGGAGACATGTACCTTGACCTCTGGTTCTGCTGCTGCATGTGGTGACCGGGAGCGCTTTTACCTGCCACTGGTCTCCGAGAGAGAGCGAGCGAGAGAGAGAGAGAGAGAGCGTGCAAGTGAGAGAGAGCGCGCCCCCAGTTTCAGGAGGCGTGTGCCCAGGGCGCTGTGGCGGGGAGGGGCGGGGGGGAGCGGTCACGAGCCCGGCTTGTCTCATGGTTCGGGCGGAGGCTGTGGGGGGTGGAGCCCGGGGTTTGGGGGAGGGGGTGGAGGGTCTGGGAAGAGGCTGGTCCTGACCCTGGAGGCGGGGAGGGTCAGAGGGCCGGGAGCGGCAGCCAAGAGCAGTGCTCTGCGCGCAGCGGGAGCCTGGGCGGGGGGCTCTGCGGTGTCCCTGGGGTTTGTCAGGTGCTCTTCCTGGGGCCCCAGGCCCAGCGGTACCAGACTAGTACGTCTGGCAGAGGCTGGAGCAGCCCCAGGCCGGGGAATCCTGCCGCACGGCCAGAAGGAATGTTGTCTCTCTGTCCCGGCCTTAGAACCTGTCCCTAAAATCCTGCCTCGTTTCTCCCCCACAGGGTGACGATGGAGAAGTCGGGCCCAGAGGGCTGCCTGGGGAGCCCGTAAGTCCTGCTCGGGTGGGCGTTTCTGTCCTCAGCACGGTGATGGGCTGCTGGAGGAGACCGTCTGGATAGAACCAGGTTCTGGATAGAACCAGGGACCGGCCTGGAGCATAGATTAGAGGGGAGGTCGCCTTGAAACAGACATCTGGGGGGTTCTAGAGCAAGGAAGAGAAGGAAAGGCTGGTGGGCAAATATTGCCTTCCCCAGGGGAAGAAGCTGAGGCCCCGATGGCTGTGTTTGGAACTCCATGTTGCAGTCATGGGGTGGAGCACAGGGTCATCATGACGGGTGTGTAGGGCCATCATGGCGGGTGTCCAGGGCCATCATGGCAGGTGTGTAGGGTCATCATGGCGGGTGTGTAGAGCCATCATGGCGGGTGTGTAGAGCCATCATGGCGGGTGTGTAGGGCCATCATGGCGGGTGTCCAGGACCATCATGGCAGGTGTGTAGGGTCATCATGGCGGGTGTGTAGGGCCATCATGACGGGTGTGTAGGGGCCATCATGGTGAGTGTGTAGGGCCATCATGGTGGATGTCCAGGGACATCATGGCAGGTGTCCAGAGCCATCACGGTGGGTGTGCAGGCTCTAGGCATGGTGGGCACCTAGAGTGCACTAGGCGAGTGTCCAGGAGCAGTTGTGGGGACCGATCAAGCAGTTTGCCGTCCCTTCTGATGCCTACACTTCTCCAAAGTGGAGCCTTGCATTAGGGTGGCCCTGCCATGGCATCAAATGGCTCTTTTCCTGAAGCCGATTTCTGTTAGGGCCCAAGCAAACTTCCTCAGCGACAAAGGACACCATTTACCTCTCACCTGCGGTTCCTTCTAAAATGTCTCATTTTTGTCGTCCACGTTACCACGGCCTTATACATCTGGTGGTGTTAATTGGGGGGAACATCGCAAGTGGTACACGGCAAGAGCCTGGGTTGAGCTCACACCTTCACCGGGAACTAAATCCTGCCCAGGATGCCTGATTAGCCTCTAAGGAGAATCCATTACACAGGCGTCTCCTTAACACACGCCGAAGCGACACCTTCTGGGTTATTAGCTTCTAGAAAGCACTTACAGGGCTGAGTATTTAAATAACGACAGGGATGGCTACGTGGCACCGAGTGTGGGAAGGATTCCTCCGCTGGGTCTCACGACTTTCCATCAGAATTGAGGGTGCTCAGGCCCTGGTTAAAGGCTGGAAGAGCCCCCCGCAGGCGGGGCGGGTGTGAGGTTCAGGAGTGGTGGGCGATGCCTCTGCCGTGTCGCCGTCTAAATCTCATGGACTGCGCTGGGGACGGCACTGCCTTGGGGCTGTGTCCCTCCCTGTGCACACAGGGCTGTCCCCACACGTGCCCTTCGCTGCAGGGGGCGGAGGGGCTGAGCTCTGGGCTTAGTGGCCCCCAGAAAAGTCCCCTGTGCTACAGCTCTGCCTTGGTCCCGATGCCCGCATGAGAACCCGTTTCTTCTCCCTGCGCCCTCTGGTGGCCGAAGTGCAGTCATGTGTCACTGCCCGGAGGGAGCGGGTCACGAGAGACGTGGACAAAGGCGCTCCTTGCCGCAGAGTATCTCCGTGGCCTCTGCTGGGAGGGCGTTTGTGTGCACCTGCCCTGAGCCAGCCTGAAAGGGCTCCCTTGACTTGAAAGGCTCCCCTTGCTCTGAAGGTGCCCCTTGATCCCCTGTATGAGCTGCCAGTTCATTCCAGGCCCCGCCCCTGCTCCCCGGGGCCCAGGTGGAGAGGTGGGGGCAGGAGGAGGCATCGCAGGCGAGGACCGGGTGCTCCCCATGCTTCCCGGGACACGTGGACACTTGCGTTGCTGCAAACGCTCTGGGGGGCGGGGTGGGGGCTGCGGGGTTTGCCTGGGGCAGGGCTGGGGCCGGACTCTTGGCCAAGTGTGAACAGTCCTTGCTCTTTCCTCTTGCAGGGGCCGCGCGGTCTGTTGGGGCCGAAGGGGCCCCCGGGCCCTCCTGGACCTCCGGTAAGGCCCATCACCTCTGCCTGTGTGTCCTGCTCGGACACTTGCCCTGGGCTGGTCGAGGTGTCCGCGGGGCTCTGAGGCCCCTCGACATGGGGAGCCCTGTGCAGGCGTGGGTTTGCAGGTGGGAGCACAAAGACCCAGCTCCTCCTCCTCATGCAACACATGCTGTTGTAAACACCCCCCGGGATGCCTCATTTCTTTCTCTGAAGGCACTGTGAGCAGCTTCTGGAAAGTTCTGGAAGCAGGCAGCCCATGGTTCTGGCAGGGCTCTGTCCTGGTGGGTGGCTTCTCCGGGTCTGGCCCACCCAGTGCTGGGGCCGGGCAGCTCCGTCGACCCCTGGCCGATCCAGAGCCTGCAGGATTCTTTAACTCTCCCCTTGCCCCTCCCCAGGGGGTTCGCCATCGCTCGGCACGGCGAGGGCAGGACGCCGAGTGGAGTTGAGTGGGATTCTCCCTGTGAGTGCGGTTGATTCTTCAGCGTTCTGTCTCCTTTTTTCCCTTTTCTTCCAATGCCATCCAGGGTGTGACAGGCATGGACGGCCAACCAGGTCCGAAAGGAAACGTGGTAAGTCTCTCTCAGGGGTCTGCCCCCCGCCGTTGCTGTCAAACCAGAAGGGAATCCGAGGTGGAGGGCACAGGCCCTGAGCCCCGGGGCTGCGTGGAGCCCGAGCGGGAGAGCCAGTGGCCATGGGCTGGCGGCCATGCTTGTTCCCACCAGAGCCAGACCGCGTCCGTGCAGGGGCGGAGGGAGCTTCCCATGTCCCTGCCCTGTGCTCTGGTGACGAGCACGTACTGTGAGCCAGGCCCGCCGGGAGATAGGGCTCATGGCTCTACCAGGAGACTTTAATGCGACGTTTTGGGAACTTTCTGCCAAATAGAGCACTTTCTGGTGGCTTCCTCTCTCGGTTGCGCCTTCCCGGTGGCTGTCTGGGTGCGCCAGCAGAGGCAGCGGGTGCCCCTCACATCCGGGTCAGCCTGGGGACCCTTGTAAGCGCCAAGCCTGCTTTGTCTCTGCCGCGGGGCCACCTGCTTCTTCCCGTCTGTGCATCCTCTCCCGATGCTGGTGGGGGCCCCTGCCTGCCCTCCGGAGCCCCCGTCATGCCTCGCTTGTGTTTCCTCCAGGGCCCCCAGGGAGAGCCCGGGCCCCCGGGACAGCAGGGTAATCCAGGTGCCCAGGTAAGTGAGCGGCGGCCGGCGGGGGTGCGGGTCTTCGGTGGGGTGTCCTGGCCCCATGCTGCCGGTCCCGGCCAAGGGCCCTACAGCGGCATGTGGCCTAGAACCGGGTCATCTGGGCACCGATGGAGAGGGTGCCGGGGAGGAGCTCAGAGCCGGCCAGTCCCCTGACCCTCCCTTCCTCTCCTAGGGTCTTCCAGGTCCCCAGGGTGCAATAGGCCCTCCAGGAGAAAAGGTGAGTTGGCTGTGCTGGTATAGGGACACCCCCGCCTCCGCAGGGTGCGTTCCTGCCCCTGGGAAGCTCACTCCGCCGCAGTCTGGGCCACAGAAGTGCCGGTCCGTCCCCAGCTCGTGCGCAAGTCTGTTCCTCCCCCAGAGCCAGGGAGGCTCCGATCCCTCCGCACCGAGGAAATGAGCTTGGGGGACGATGGGGGGTCTTTGCCTTTCATCGATCACAAATTCATTCGTTTGCTCACTCGTTCACCGTGTAGCTGTGTGGAGGGGAGGGTTGCCAGGTTCCGGGAGGAGAATATAAACAGGACACTCAGTCGTGTTCGACTGTCGGTTGTATGTTGTGTTGTTTTGTCGTCGTCAGCTTTGTGCGTTCTTTTTGCGGAATCTGGCAAACCTCCCCCCCACCCCCAGCTGCATCCCGCGCACCCGCTGAGTCCTAGGTGCTGGGGGAGAGCAGGGCCATTCGAGCACCTGCTGAGCTCGGGCTCGACCCCAGGTCTTCCCACGGGCGGCGAGCACTTGGCTGGCAGGGACCACCCCCAGGGTGCGGTTGGTTCTCAGTAGCTCAGACCCCCGGGCACCGTCCCAGAAACCTTCCTGCCTCTGCTTGGGGTGGTTTTGTTCCCAAAGCGAAACTGCAGGCCCAGGAAACTTTCGGGGGGGTCATCTCCTTTGGGGGGTTCAGTTGCCAGAAGCTTCCGTGCCAGGGGGCATTCAGTGGGGGTTCAGTGCCTCTGAGCATCCCTTTCAACAAATGTTCTTGGACCAGAAATGTTGGAAAGTGCCCTTGGGAGCCACCTAGGGGAGAGGTGGCCCCAGGGCTCAGGGGGTCTCTGGTTTGTTCTAGGGTCCCCTGGGTAAACCAGGCCTGCCAGGAATGCCCGGTGCTGATGGACCCCCGGTGAGTACTCTGCCCGCCTCACCCCTTCACCACCACCTGCCCCATGTGCCCCCGGGGCGGGGAGCCCAGGCCAGCGGCTGCCTCTCCCTCCCCTCGCCCCTGGGGCGGCGAGGTGCCCCTCCCTGTCTCCCGTCTCCCACGTCCACTGATGAGGACCCCATTGGTCGTGTGATCGGTCGCCCAGTAGCCACGGGACTTCAGGTGCACTTTTCCACAATGGGTTCCAGTCGAGGCGTGGAACTCCGGGACAGGAGCGTGTGACTCATCGGGAGTGCTGGTTGATGACCAGAACCCAGCCTGCGCTGTTCAGCCTGCGGAGGGCTGGGCTGGGCTCCGGGCTGTTCCCCGTGACACTGGTGTTTGAAGGGAAGGATGGCGCGTGCCGAGTGTATTTTTAGCCATCACACACTGAGAAGGCGGGTACTAACCAGCGCGTTTGCAATGTGTGAGCACAGCTGTGGAGCCAAATCAGGTGCCGCCTAGAAATAGGGAGCCAGTGACAAGTCCAATCTGTGGCTGAGCTGTCAGAGGGAGGGGTGGGAGGTGACGCACGTTCGGGGGGTGTGGATTTGGTGACTGTTTGAGGTACAGCTCCCTTTGCACGGCTGAGAGTGGCGTGGTGCAGGGCATCACGCACCAGCTGTCGCCCTGTCCCTGTCTGAGCCAGCGGCCCACCCCCGCCCGCCCCATGCAAGCTGCCCCAGGCCCCCCTCGGCCTCCTGCATCCCGCATTTGGCGGTGTGGATGGAGTAGGTGGTTTACCCCTTTTAACTTACAGTCACGCTTCATTTCCGCTTCTGATTACAAAATAACGCACCGTGTTATGGAAAATTAGCAAAATGGATGAAAAGACAACAAAACGGAGGCCCCTCCAATCCCGTCCCCAGGGCTCACCCCACTCATGGCCGCTGGGTGCATCCTCCACGCATTTTCCCATGTGCACGGTGTCTGTCATGGGCCGGCCCGCAACCCAGTGGGGCCGACAGTGCCGGGGAGCGGGCGGGCTGCAGGCCCCCACCACCTCCCTGACCTGACTGCTTCTGCCCTGGAGAGCCCCTGTCCCCACAGGACAGCCCTATGCCCAAGACACCCTGAGGGGTCTGGTCTCCTTCCTGTTAGACCTCGAAGACCCCCCCACCCCATGCCCATGGAGCCATGGGCTTCCTCTCCTAGACTTTGCACTTTCCACTCCCCCCAGCTGACACTTAAACTTGAAATATGAGCGCACGGCGGCCCGTCTGAGTACTGCAGTGCCAGCCGCGCACCCGAAGGAGCTTAACGCTGAAGACGCGAAGGGAACAGGTGCCTGTTTTCGTATGTGAATTTGCAGGAACAGAGAGATCGAAGCACGCTCTCCAAACAGGACAGGGTTTCCTTTCTTTCTTCCCTCGACTTGCTTGGGTTCGGCCTCAGCTGCGGAAAGCAAGGTTGATTTAAAGTCCTTCGGAAGGAGGGAGTGTTTCAGAGCAGATGCACTCGAGTGTGTAGTTAAATCATCCCGGAGAGCTCGCGACGGGGGACGCGTCGGGGGAGTATGGTTCAGAGGAGTATTACTGAGCCAGTAAAAACCAACTTTGGGTGACACGAGAAAAGGCCCGCCACGTAATATTAAAGATACATCACGCGATGCCACTTTGGCGTGTGTGTGCATGAGGGGCCAGAGGAGCCGTGTCCCACAGTTAGCCGGGGCCGCTGAAGCCGGTGACGTCATGAGGGACTTTGTTTCCTTTCCCACTTGCCTGATTGTCTACAAGGAACGTATATTACTTTTTTAATCAGAAAAATATCAAATATAAATAACTTAAGCTTTGTTATTTCTCCATTATACGAACAATGCCCGTAGAAAGCTTGTAGAAAATGCAAGCTCGTAGAATGGATTGGAAAACAGCTAGCTTTTCACCACAGAAAACTCAGTCTCTTATTTTGGGGTATTTCCTTTCATTGTTGTTTGTACCCACATTTTTTAAAAACATTTTTTTAACATATTTTTTTTTTTATTTTGAGAGAGTATGTGAGCAGGGGAGGGGCAGAGAGAGGGAGAGACAGAGCATCCCAAGCAGGTTCTTCACGTCAGCACAGAGCCCGATGCGGGGCTCGAACTCACAGACTGTGGGATCATGACCGGAGCCCGTGTCGGACACTCGACCGACGTAACCACCCAGGCTCCCCTGTTCCCACATGTTAAAGTGAGCTTTGTGTTCTCCTCCCAGTTACTCATTCTATAAATACAACTTACACTGGATCTAAAGAAATTTGGCCTCAATTGAAATAATGCTAATAACCCTGAAAACTGCCGACGTGAGCTGGCCACGCGCTGGGTGCCGGGCGCAGTCCGGAGCGCTTTACCGACCTGCTCCTGGCAGTCTCTGCGGCGACTCCGTGGGGCAGGCACCTTCTCACCGCCACCCCGTGAGCGAGGACGTTACCTCGTGGAAGGGTGTTGCTCGCTCTCTGAGGGACCCACGTGGCTCTGTCCGCAGTGTGTGTGTGTCACCTGGAGCCCGGGGCCCAAGCATCCACACCCGCACTCCCTGTCCGCACGGTTCCTTAACGGAAAAATGTCTGTGGTTGATGGAAGCTGTAGTAACGTGGCTCAGAGGGCGTATGTGGCACACAGGGGGCAGGGCCCACGCGTTGCTGCCCCCCCAAAGCAGGACACCTTCTCCTTGGCTCTGTTGGGGTCTGGCCCCGCCACACGAGGCACTGGCCCCACGAGCCTTGTTTCTGAAAGGCGGTGTGGCAGGCGGTGTGGCCGTGTGGGCCAGAGCAGCAAGTGCGGCCCATCGGGGGCCTGATTTCCCTCGAAGGCGGGCACCGGCAGCCCCCTGAGGGCCCCCCGCCTGCAGAAGGACTTCTGTAGTCCCCACGTGCCTTGCCGTCAACAGTATCCAATCCAACTGCATGACTAATAAAAACAAGAAGGTAAACCCCCAGATCATTTATTCCGAGAGGTGAGATGTTGGTCCCCATAATGCTGCTGCGTTCTAGAAGACTCAAGCTGAAAGAGCACCTGGGCCACCCTCTGATTTGACCCATGAGGAGGTGGAGGCCCAGAGAGGGCAAGTGTCTTCCCCAGGGTCACACAGTGGGTCGGATGCAAGCAGGTCGAGAATCAGCAGCCTCAGCACACCACTCGGCCTCTTTACTGTACCCCTTGGGGTGCTCCTGGACAGAGGGCAGCGTGTCTCTTTCCGCTTTTACTATCTGTGTCTGCCTCGTGAGCTCAGAGGCCTACAGCTAGTGACCAGCCCAGGTTGGAAAGTCAGAGAGCTCGCATTTCCGGGAACTGAATGGGTTGGGGCTCGGGAAGCTGGGGCAGTGACCCAGGGGCCACGACCGTTTCTTCTGGGCGTTGACTCAACCTGTATTGTGGCAGTAGGTCCACGTGGAAGGCTGAGGCACCTGACAGAGACCTGGGGACGTGCTGGGACCCCAGTCGAATGACAGGGCGTGGCCTCCCCGGCGTCTCAGGACGTGAGAGAGCTAGGTGTCCAGACTCCGGCCCCATGTCCCCCCTCCTTGTTTGGCACAGAATTCTTCATGCCGGGAGATGTTGAGCAAATGCCCTGTGGTCACTGTGCCGGCTCACCTGCACTCGGGGGGCGGGCTGGGTGCGGTGAGTCAGGTGATGTGACGGCGCCTGGGTGCCACCGTTCCCACGTGACACATGGGGCAGCAGAGGGACAGGGCTGAAGGGCCGGCTCAGGGCCCATGGCTGCGGGTGACCCCCAGGCTCGGTTGCCTGATGCCTTTGACTTCTTGCCTCTCTGGTTCTTGTTTCGTGGTTGGGAGTGTGGGGGGGAAGGCGATGGGAGGGGCCGGCTCTCCCGCCCACCTTTGAAGACAGGGGTGCGGAGCGGCCGCTGTCTAACGCCTTCTCTCTCCTGACAGGGGCACCCTGGCAAAGAAGGCCCTCCAGGCGAGAAAGGCGGCCAGGTGGGTTCAGAAGGGAGTGAGCGGGGGCAGCTGTGCCCTTCGTCTGGTGTCTGTGCCCAGGGGTCCCGGCCTGGGGCGTCAGGGACCTCCACCCATCTGGTTCCCCGGTGACCCTTCCCCGCCCTTGCTTACGCGCATGGCCACACATAAGCTGGGTGACTGCAGGTTCTCGGCCAAGGGCTTCTGCAGACCCGTTGCCCTCGTTTGCTTGGGGCCAGGACGTGGGGCTTAGAGTCGGGATGGAGTTTCCAGGCAGCCTGGCCCCCAGGGGCTCGCCTGCTGCCCTGTTTGTGGCAAAAGTCCGCTTCTGCCTCCCTTCATCCTGGCCTCCCCAGGCCCGCACCTGCGCAGAGCCGGGGCCGCGAGTGCTCAGCAAGGCCCCAGGCTGTCAGGGCCATCTCTCCCCCAGACGGTCAGCCCGCGTCCCCTCTCCCAGTCGGAAGCTCTCCCACGCACCCAGTGCACCTCTGCTGGGAGCACACTTCTTTAAGGACGGCCCCCAGCATCACCCCCCCGCCATCTCACGGCCCCCCTCGCGCTCCTGGACCGCTGGGCGGCGGCCACACTTCGGTCTCAGCAGGAGACACGGCAGGCGTCCCCGTCCAGCGGGAGCCCCTTCCAAGGGCCTGATCCGGGATGTCCGCTCTGCACGGAGCAACGGGAATTTGCTGGCGGAAGGGACGCTTTCTGGTGGTTGGGGGAGGGCCCGGGAGTGGACTGGACGCGACCAGGCCCCAGACGGGGCTGATGGCCTTTTTCCCCTTCGGTTTCAGGGTCCTCCCGGCCCCCAGGGCCCAATCGGCTACCCGGGTCCTCGAGGAGTCAAGGTGAGGTTCTGGCAGCTTCAGGTCTCCCTGGATCGGGCAGGGCTGGATTGGGGGCGCCGCAGCCCGGCCCCCCGGCTCGTGAGGGAAGGTGGGATCTGGGGCAGAGGGCCGGGGCCCAGAGGGGCCAACCCGGAGCCGGGGGCCTCTCAGGTGCATCTGTGACAACACAGGCGTCAGGATGGGGACACCGGTCCGTCTGTCGGGACGCTGCTTTAGTGACCACCCAGTCCCCCCCCCCCCCCCCCCCCCCCCCCCCCCCCCCCCCCCCGCCCCCTGAGCCCCGCACTGACGCACGCCTCAGCCAAAGTGAAGTGCTCGTCCCTCTTTCCTGGGAAACTCAGGAACATTCCTTCAGGGCCATTAGCACGTCCAGAGGGAGAGGGTCCCTCCCCTGGGGGAACACGCAGGAGGGGCTCGTGGGAGATGTCCCTTTACCCACAGCCGCGTCTGCGCTGCCGAGGGGCTCCCAGAGCCTTGTGCCCGGGGCACGGAGATCCAGAGCAATGCCCCGAACACGGGCGCGCCTGGTCCGGCACAGCTAACCGGGTTTACCTGGAGTCGTGTGATTTAATGTCCAGTCGTGCCGCTTTCTGGGCACGTGGGGCACATTTATACGGAAAGAGATGGGCCCCAAGGAGCCTGTGTGGCGGAGGCTGGTGGAGGTGGAGGGGAGGGGAGGGGAGGTGTTCTTCTTTCTCTGCAGTGTCTGAAAGCTCTAGGTGATTCTGGGGCCTCAAACAAGCTAATAGCTTACTTTCTTTCCAAAGGACTTTAACTTGACGTGGAGGGAAATGTATAAACGTGTTTACAGACACAGGTGCTTAGTCTGGGGAATTTGCACTAACACACCCTTCAGCCCCTGTGCCGGTCCACACCGTTTACCATGCCTCATACTCTGAGCATTTTTGCACCTCGGACGTGTGCGCCTGGCCTGCGGGGTGGGGGTTGGAGAACCCAAGACCTCAGTTTTCAGCACCTTGTCCCAAGTTACCCTAAACTCGATGCCTCAATCAGGACCCAGACTCAGAACTTGCTTATTCTGAACCGCGCACCGCACACTGGACCCTGAGGGGTCTGAGTGCATTTCCCAGGGATCACGATGTCCCGAGGGCCCGACGCAGACCTGCCTCCCAGGGGTCGGAGCCGGGGGTGGGGTCAGGTTTCGGCCTGAAGCAGGCTCTGACCCGCCCGCCGTGGGAGCTTTGTCAGGATGACTGTTTCGCAGAAATGCTGATTATGTGAGCCCTGTGCATGTTTATTTTATAAATTCTTGTCACAAAAGTGTCTGCCAGCTCCGTGGCTAATTGCATAATGCTGAGGCTGTGAGCTGAAAGGTGTTTGCTTTAAAATGTTTATGGAGAAGGCTCTTATCTTGTCTATCTGATTAGAATTCATTCATGCCGGGAGCGATCCGGTTAGACTTGGAAGCAGAGAGTGGGAGGGAGTGTGGGGCTGAACGCTCTTTTCACTGGAGAAATACATTCTCATTCCCTGGGCTTTTGAAAATGGCAGTGGAGTCCACAGCCTAAGGGACGGCAGGCCCCCGAGGGAGGTGACGGCTCAGGGCAGAGAGGTGGCGAGCCATCGCCCTGAGGGGCAGCCAGCCCCTGGGCAAGCAGGGCCTGGCTTTTCTCCACCGAGTCCTGCCTTCTTCCTGGGGAAGGGCCCCTCAGTGCGCTTTGATTTTCCCGGACCTTTGTGAGGGGCGTCAGGGCTGGACTGTCAGCTAAGGCGGATCCGCCACTGATGGAGCCTGCCGGAGCGGGTGGGGGGCTGGGGGAAGACCCTAACCATGAATTCTCTTGAGCCCTTGGGCAAAGCCCTGTTCCTCCCTTGGCTCCTTTGCTTTCTGTCCCCCAGTCCTGGCCCCTTAGGGCCACAGTGGATGCCGCAGTCCTGAGGTCCTCAACCAGGGCCGATTTGTGCCTCCTGGGGACGTCTGGGCATGGTTTTGACGGTCGTGATTTGGAGGGGGAGGGACTACAGTCATCTAACGGGTCGGAGCCAGGGATGCCGTGCACAGGGCAGCCCCCGCGACGAACTGACCCAGCCCCGAATGTCAGCTGTGCCGTGGCCAAGACACCTAGTCGATTTGTCTGTGGGCCGCGTTCCCCTGGCCTCTGACCCGGGTCGGGAAATGGTAGCACTCGGGGTCTGGGAGGGTGTGGGCACAGGAAGCCCGCCCCACCAGCACCGCAGGAGGGAGCAAGCTGGTGCCAGGGCCCCAGAACATCTGTCCTGCGGCTGCTTGTGGCTGCCTGGGGCCATGGGCGGGGGGGGGCGCATGCAGCCCAGGCCAGGCCCAGCTCTCCGTCCGCCTCCAGCTTTTCTTGGGGCTTCTCCTCGGTTCCTGGAAAAAGGCTCAACAGTCTGTGCACAGCTTTTGCCACCAGAGGGCATCTGGCAGCCCGAGGGTCCCCGGAGGTGGCCCCGCCACCCTGCCTGCAGCCTCGGCTGGAACACAGGGGAAGCCTGGCCTCTCTCTGGGGTCCCGTGGGCAGCTGGCCGCCGTTGGCGTCTGCTCCCCACTCGGAGGGCCAAGGCTGTGGACACCTCCCTCCCCTCTGCCTGGTCTGGGCGAGGTGCTAACGCGGGGGGGGCGGGTCAGAGGAAAGTGGGCGAGTCCTGCCCTTACAGTTCTCGTTCGGCACAGAGATCCGTCCTGAGCCATGTCATTGGCAGTGGCGTCGTTATTATTAATTGGTGATTAATAAGCTGACGGCCCATTATCGTGTATCAGTAATAGTCATACAGAAGGACAGTAGTCTGACAGCATGTAGCTGTTGTGTTTTGAGCACCTGCTGTGTGCCGAGTGCCCGAGGCCTTGTCTGCCTTCTCCTCCCACCACAGGAACAGGGTAATGGTCGTCGCCACCCCACTTTCCCAATGTGGAAACTGAGGCACTAGGCACCTGGGACAATGTCAGAGGCCACGAGCTGGGGCCCATCTGCCCGATTCCAGAGCCCGTGCTGAGGCCTCACGTCCCACCTGCTCCCCAGACCTCAGAGAGATGGATGTTTCCAGAAGAGGGCAGATATCAGCGGGGCCATCTGGGAGTCACTGGCGGGGTGGGGGTGGGGAGGACTTCCCCTCGAGAGCTCAGGAGAGGCTCCAATGCGTCCGACTCACTCTCTTCCCTTCATGTCTGCACAGGGGGCCGATGGCATCCGCGGTCTGAAGGGCACCAAGGGCGAGAAGGTGAGTGCGTCCCCTTCCTGCCGCAAACGGCCCAGAGCTCCTTCCGGTGCAGCCCTCACAGCTGCTGAGGCTGCCGTGGCCTCTGAGTGTGGAGGGACGGATACACCCTGCAGGATAGACTGTGGGCGCACCTCCTGGCGGGACTGAGGGTCTGGGGCTTTGCGCTCCACCCCACCCACCCAAGGCCAAGGCTGAGGCTCGCCACTCACCTGCAGAGGCCAGCGGGCGCTCCACGCCCCACGCCCCACCCCCAGGCGGATGCCTTGCAAGGCAGCTGGGAGACGGGTCCGTGGGGGTGTGAGATGCCCGTCCCGGGCACTCCTCAGTCCACGTGCACTGCCTCAGTTTCCCCTGGAGAGCCGGCAGAGGAAAGCAGAACCCTGAGCCCTCGTTCTGGGTCACCTGCAAGTGTGAGACTGAGGGCCCTTGGGGTAAGGGCCAAGCACAGTCCCACGGGGCAGACGATGTCCCCAGCGGTGTGCCCGGCGGTGCCTCCTGCCGCCCCGAGGTCCCTCATCCTATTGCAGGGGTTCCACGTTTGTCTTGTCACTTCTGTCCTTTAGCTGGAGACAGGGCTGCTAGAGCGACGGGGAAGGTCTCTTCCCTGGAGGCCCCCCTGGGGCGGGGGCAGCCCGCGGGGTGGGGGTGAGGAGTGCCTCCCGGGACCTCAGTGTCCGGGGCCGCCGTGGGTGAGTCCCCGGCCTGTCACAGAACAGCAGACGCGCACTGCGGGCTGGGGAGGAACGAGTTTGCGTCGAGTCCCAGAAAGCTGCCTCCATCCGTGTACCTGCTGGCCTGGGTGCTCAGGGCCAGGCCCCCGATGGGCAAACGAGGTCAGATCAGGGCCTGGACGCTGAGAGGGAGGGCAAGCCAGGCGGCCCCTTACAAGTATCTGAGGGTCTTGTCCGCATGGGGACCCGAGTGCACAGTGGCCCTGACCCCTGTGTGTCCCCAAATGTGCAAATAGCATATTATTGTGTTCCCTGGGCCAGAAGATGCAGGGCCCGTGTCACTGAGGGCTGGCCCCTGGCCCTTCCCTCCCACAGCTCCTGGGGGGCCGGCCCGGGTGTCCGGCTTCTCTGGGGCATCCTCCCTCTGGACCCCGCTCTGCTGCTTGCCTGTCGGCAGCTACTGGGCCCCAGCGGTGTGGGGCGTGGGGCTGTGCACAGCTGTGCGGGGTGCAGGGGTGTGGGGCCACGAGCTCGACCCCACAACTGCAGAGGGTTATGGGGACACCCTTCACGAGGGATGGGACGCACACCTGCCCCCCGCCTGGCAGGATGACACAGCGGCTCTGGGCTTGGGGCCGTGTGCTGAGTCGTGGCGGGGGGGCAGCCATCCCGGAGGGGGGACTCTTTCATGCAGACCCGACCACTGTCTTGTCCTTTGTTAGGGTGAAGACGGCTTTCCTGGGTTTAAAGGAGACATGGGCATCAAGGGTGACCGGGTGAGTGTTTGGGGAAGCTGGTGGGTGTGGGGGTTGGGCTGGCATGTTTGGGGCCACAGGACAGCGTCTCCTAATGGAGGGACGGCTCCGTGGGGGCTCCCGGCCGCAGGCAGAGACAGCTGGGAGCCCAGAGGCCCGACTCGGTGCATGTCCCCCCCGCCCACTGGCCCTCAGCTTCCGGCTTGAGCCACGGCGGCTCTTGCCTGGCGTTAACGCCTGGTTACTAGGGTCACCTGGGGTCACCTGGCCCCTCTGCGCTGTGCCCTTACCCCCCTTGCACAGGGGGTCCGTGGGGACTTGTCTTTCTGCGGCCGACACTCTGGTTGGCAGAACACTTCATTTGGTTCAGAAGAGACAGAGGGGAAGAGGCTGCAGAGATGCCGTGTGACCGGGGAGGGCTGGGTCCCCACCCACCGGGACGGCCCCTCGGCCCCCGACACGCTCCCGTGCCTTTAGGACCCTGCGCAGCTGCTGGTTGTGTCACCTCATGCTGGGTTGTCAGAAGCTGCAACGCACAGGTTGTTTTTAATGAATAATTTACCCCCGCGTTGGAGGAAGCTGCTCAGTCCAGAGGGGGACAGGTGGGCTCGCGTGGCAGGCGCCCACGGAAGGCCACCAGCTGCATTTTCCACTGAGCAGGGAGAGGGTGAGGCAGGTGACGTGGGAGGGTGGCTCCGGGCCGTTGGCCTCCTGCTGCTGCTGCGGTGCAGGCCCGCTGAGAGTGAGCGCGGGCCCCGGGCGGGGGGACGGGAGGGCCTGAGCCAGTGGGGGGGGGGGGGGCGGGGGGGGGGGGGGGGGGGGGGGGCAGGGCACAGCCGTGGCAGCAGCTGGCCGCGCACCTGCAGCACTGCTGTGGGCTGACAGAGCGCTGCCGTGCGGCCGCCGTGATGTTCCCTGACAAAACGGGCATGCAGGTGCCTTTTCAGAACGTGCCGGCGCCGGAGGGCCCCACGCGCCTGGCGCCGTGTCACAAACTCAAAAGGCAGAAGCGATCTTGGCCTCCATCAAAGGCGGAGGAATGAAAGAGATTCATTTCACAGTCGTGTCCCAGTTCTGTCCTGCTAACAACAGCTGTTCTAGAACTTCCTCCATGGTGACGGGACTCTGCCCACATCTGAGGGGTCTCTCTCTCTCTCTCTCTCTCTCTGGCTGGTGAATGTCCTTTTTATTCTGCCTCTGACAATGCCGTGCACACACTTGGGGTCCGTGTTACAAGGGTACATTTCTGAAAGAGATGGCACAGAGGATGTCCGGCAGTCATGCGCCAGGCTCTGCGGGCAAGCCTGCCCTTGGAATTGGGGGGAGTGGGAGACCGACAGCAGGGACACTTGCTCAGACAGGGAGTGGAGAAATTTCTGCCCAGTGCTTGGCCTTTTCTAGGTGCTCAGTTAACAAGTGAAGGGTTCTTTTCTTAGAAAAACACTTGTAGGGACAGAGAGTTCTGGGTCTGCAGACATGACCTTATGAATAAGGAAAGTTAATTGGTCCTTCGTTATCCAGGGGATGCACGTTTTTGTTGGGGGTACGGCCATCTTGCAGCTGCTGCTGGGAGCCAGTGGTCGGCGTGATCCCGCAGTGGGCAGAGGGCCAGGGTGGGGGCTCAGACGCCGGGCCAGGTGCTGCTGTGGGCCCCAGGGAGCCCCGGGTCTTGTCGGGGCCCAGGCTGCACCGCGGGGAAGTGGGTTGGGGCTGCATCGAGGACCCTTGCATCTCTGAGACACGTCACGTGGTCTCCCATGGGTCTGCCATGCCCAGACCCTGCGCATCAGGGCCATGGTCCACCCCTGTGCCTCCTGCGGTCCATTCCTGCCTCAAGGACAAGGGCAGCGCTGGGCAAGCAGCAGTTCCGAGCTCCGGTGCCGGCCATGGTCATCTCAGCCGGGAGGGACTCATTGGAGAGGCGTGAGTGTCCGGCCTGGACAAAGCTTCCCACCTCTGCGCAGGGGGGCGGTGAGGCCACTCAGCAGAGCCCCACAGCTTGCTGTACGGCGCTCTGGGGTCTCAGACGGCAGCACGTGCCGCCTGCCCGAGGCCACCGGGTGCGCCCAGCAGGTGGAGCGGCTCCTACCGTGAGATCTTACCTGGGATGCAGACTCTTGGGGCCAGAATGGCCATGGGAGGCGTGTGGTGGGAGGTGGGGACAGGGTCCTTCCTAACCTTCTCTTTTTTGACTTGCAGGGGGAGATCGGCCCCCCTGGTCCCAGAGGAGAAGATGGCCCTGAAGGCCCGAAGGGGCGTGGAGGTCCGAACGGCGACCCCGGTCCTCTGGGACCCCCTGGGGAGAAGGTAAGTGACAGGAAGGATGCCTGCTGCTTCCTGGGGTCACAGACCCCTCTGACGGCCTTGGGTGCCCAGGCTGGTGACTCGGCCAGGCTGAAGCCCCCAGACGGGGTCAGGCGTGATCTGACTCGGGCCCTGTCCCACTTGCCCAGCTTCCTGGTGAATTAGTCTGTTGACAGGTCGGTCCTTCCCTTGTCCTGAGTCGGGTCTCTGAGCACTTGGCCAGCGCCCTGGGAGAGCCTCTTCCTCCGGGTGCCCAGAGCCTGGGGTCTGAGCCCTGCGCCTGCAGCACCGCCTTTCATCCAGGGACTCGCGACGCGTACCTGTCCTTGGACCTGTCCCCCCGCCCCTGCCGCGGCCCTGGCCCAGGAATGGGCGCTCGGAGGGCCCCAGACGCCCGCCCAGTCTTGCCCCAAGGACTCTTTACAAAGCTGTTCAGCAGAACCTCCCGGATAAAGAGTTCTTTACTGGAGATTTGCCTCAGTCAGGGCATTGTCTCTTCCTGCTTCCTGTCCGGGCAGAGGAATTTTCCGGGGATACAGCACCCCAGGGGGCAGGCAGCAGCCCCTCGCCGTCCTTGCTTGGCCTGGAGAAAGCGGATGGTGGAGTTAGGTGCTGGCCAGATGACACAGCCCCTTCTTTTTCCCCAGGGAAAACTCGGAGTTCCGGGATTACCAGGTTACCCGGGAAGACAAGGACCCAAGGTAATTTATGAGGGTATCGGGTGTTGGGACACCAACGTCCCTGGGGGGGCCGCCATGGCGAAACCCAGTGTCACCCTGCCCGTCTCCCCCAGGCTGTGCGCTGTCCACAGCCTGGGCGTGAGGCTGGTTGAGTTGGACCGAGGTGCGGGGGCAGTCAGCTGGTCCTTTCAGGAAACAGGGCAAAGCCAGTCTGAGCGAGGGCCGTGCACCGGGTCCCCAGCCCCCGGGCCCGCTGCCTGCTCTGCGCCTCGGACGCAGAAGCCTCCCTCGCCTTGCTTCACCCTGGACACTTGGGGGTTATTTGCTCGTAACAGCATAAAAGGGAGACGAAACCTTCTGTACAAGAAACCGTGTTCGGCTTTAAGTGAAACATCTCCTCCAGGCTTTGGAAATCATTTAAAACATTATTTTTTTTCCAAATCTCACCTTTTATTATTCATGGTCCTTCCTTAGAAAATAACCAGCTGCTGCACTGAAGGCATAATTAGCGGTGGAAGCGCTTTGCTTCTGTCACTCTGCCTCTCCGGCTTCGGCGCCTTTCCAGACTCCCAGGCTCAGGCTCGTTCCCGGGAGGGGCCCCGCAGGCCGGCTGTCCCACTGGATATTTCTTTTCTGGCTAAGGAATCAGCTGGCCTTCCCGAGGGATGCTAATATCCATTTGGGGCATGTAGACCACACCGCAGGGAGGCAGTTTGCGATCAAACTGCAATTTGTTCAGTGTCCGACGGTGATACACTGAACAGGACTAGGCACCCTCCCCTCCCCCCCCCCCGGTCTTGGAGCAAGAGGGACTGATGAACTGTATATGTCCCCTGGGGGGAGGAGCAGAGAGAAGTCTTGGGGGTGCGGACCAAGTTCAGGCTGTGCCCTTGGAAGGAAGCCACCTGGCAGTTTTGGTTTGTTTTTTAAAATATTTTAAGTTCATTTATTTTGAGAAAAGCAGTGACAGTGCAGGTGGGGGTAGGACGGGAGGGGTGAGGAAGAGAATCCCAAGCCGGCCCCATGTTCGCAGTGCAGAGCCTGGCGCAGGGCTTGAACCCATGAAACTGAGATCGTCACCTGAGCCGAAACCAAGGCAGACGCTTAAGGGACTGAGCCCCCCAGGTGCCCCCACCTGGCAGTTTTAAAGCCCTCAGGAGTGCCTGGACACGGTCGCCATGACCAGCACCTGCGCCGAGACCTGCGCCCAGGTGTCCAAGGCAGTCTCATGCCTAGATGGGCAGGCGGGCATAGGGGTGCAAGGTTTGGACGTGTGTGAACTTTTCATGGTCTGAGCACACATTCAGGTCAGGATTTTTAGCCACAAGAGAGCAGAGGCCCGCTGAAGACAGCAACCACCTCTCAAGGGCACGGGAAATGTCTGAGCATCTCAGGGAAGTTCACAGAGTAGATGTCTGGGTATTACCCACATCAGAGTCACCGAGTGTATCTTTTGTCTACACGCACCTTGTAGGTTTCTAGAATTAAATAGCTGTTAGTTGTTACAGTCAGCGCATAGATTTGCATTAATTTCTCACGTTACAAGCTGCCAGGCTTTATTTAGAGGTGTTCTGGGAAGATAACAAAACATGACAACAAAACACGGTAAACAAAATATCATAAACGTAAGATGCACACACCCCTTTCCAGTTCATCTCAGGAGTCTGTGTGCCCTGCTCTTCCCAGATACCAATGTTCCGAAGACATGAGTGTGCAGAGAGGGAGAAAGGAGAAGCATGGTTAAGACTCAGCTTTGGTGTTTAGATTTAGAGGCTATGAGTTGCTTAGGAAATATTTACTGAGTGAGTGGGTGATAAATGGATGGTGAATGATGGGTGGGTGGGTGGATGACGTTTGTATAGGTGGATAGTTAGAGGAATGGATGGGTGAGTAGATGGATGATGGGTGGATGGATGGATGATGTTTGTATGGGTGGACAGATTAGTGGATAGTTAGATGGGTGGATGGCTGGCTGGGGGGTGGTGGGTGTATGTTTGGACAGAATGGATGGATGGTTGGCTAAGTGGATGGATGGGCAGGTAGATAGTTGGATGGATGGATGATGGGTGGATGGATGGTGGGATGGATGGATGGGTGGGTGAATGAGTGGATGGATGAATGGATGAATGGTTGGATGAGTGGAGGGATGGGTGGATAGGTGGGTGGATCTGTGGGTGAATGGGTGGATGGATGAATGAATAGATGGATGGGTGGATAGTTGCATGGTTAGATGGGTGAATGGATGGAAGGGTAAGTGGGTAAATGGATGGATGGGTGGATGGATGGATGGATGGATGGATGGATGGGTGGGTAAATGAGTGGATGGATGGTTGGATGGGTGGAGGGATGGGTGGATGGATGGGTGGGTGGATGGGTGAATGACTAGATGGGTGGGTGGGTGGTTGCATGGGTGGATGGGTGACTGGATGGAAGGGTAGGTGGATGGATGGGTGGGGTGGGGGTGGGTCGGTGGAGTTTGTGTCTGAGGCTGTGAACTGTGACCGGCCGCTGGCACGCACAACATAGCTGGTTGTCTGGCCCTGCACTCATGCTTCCTTATGAACCCCCTCTCTTTCAGGGCTCCATTGGGTTTCCTGGCTTTCCTGGTGCCAACGGAGAGAAGGGGGGCAGGGTAAGGACAGCGTGGCCTCCAGTCACGTGGCTTGTTTTGCTGTTGTTTGTTATTTAACGGGTATATTTTCTAGCATGTCCTGTTTATTCTCACCCATTTTGCTGCCAAAACCACTTTCCGCCCGGCCAGAGACTCTCCCCGTACACAGGGCGGGTGGTGGTGTGGGAGGCGGGGGAGCAGCAGGAGAGGAGGGCGCGCTTTCTGGTGAGCGACCACGACCCTGACCCCCTGACCGCTCCTTGGGCCGTTAGCGAAACCCAAGTCTTCTCTCTTCAACCCGAGTGACTTTTCCTCCAGGTGAATTTTTAAAGGAAGGGAAGGAAAAAAAGGAGTTTTTTCCCATTTTGTATGTTACCTACTCTGCGGGTCCAAATTCAGGCAGCTCCTCCCCCTTGGTATTTGTGAGCTGGAGCTGCCGTTGTCACAGGGCACCTGCCGGGTGGTCACTCTGTTGTCACCTTGAGCTTTGGGGCTGGGCTGGAGAAGCCATGCCCCCCAAGCCATCCTGACTCCCCGCTGGTCCAAGCCGTCTGACAGGGAAATCGCAGGACACTGTCTGAGCACTGCCTCTCGGGACACGGGATGGAGATGGCCATCCCGGTCCTTCAGTTCTGAGCTGGTTGTCCACAGGCACGTGGGACAGAGGGGCCTGTGGTTTGTGGGGTGTGTGCAGAGCACGCCTTGGGGCAGGGGGACCCCACACTTTGGAAGAGGGGCCGCAGCTTCTGCAGCTACTGTGACAGGCCCAGCCCGTTCTGCGCCTCACGCCGGAGCTCCTGGTGCGGGAGGGCTGCACCTCCCCGGAGAAGCACCTGCTCCGATCTGTCCTTGCCGTGTTTGAGCAGAGGCGGTGAGCTCTCTTGAAAATGGAGAGACCCCTCAAGTGAGCCAAACCCAGGCAAACCAGCGTGCGTGGGGCCGATCCCCAACATGGAACACAAGGAGCCGCCCTCGGTGCGAGTGGACAGCGTGACAGGGGCCACTTCCCTCGTCCGGTCCGGAGCTGGATGTCCACGTGCACCTCCCTGCGCACCCGCCCGGGTGTCCTGTCTGAGTCTGCACCTACTGCTGTCTTCGGTGACCACCTTGGTGGAGGCGGGCCCTGAGGACAACGAGGTCAACTTTCACAAAAGGAAATGGCCTGGGCAAGGGCGGAACGGGACTGGCAAGCCCGCCCACGCGTCACGGGAGAAGTAGTCCCTGTGCCCTCCCGGGTGCCGGGGACACAGAGGCAAGTGGGGGACGTGGGGTCTGCAGGAAAGTGGCCAGGCCTGTCCCTGGGAAGCGTCCGAGGTGGCGCTGCGCACGAGCGAAACGGCAGGTGGCCACGGTTTCACCTGCGCCTCCTGCCAGGAGACCCGGACCGCTCACGGCTCAGCTCGCGGGCTCCCCACGCCCCGGTCCCCGCAGGCGACGGAGACCTCACCGCGCACTGGTGGTTTTCAACTCTCCCTTGATGGTGGCAGTCCAGCTGGCATAACCCTGACCAAGTTAGGGGGTCGTTCTTGCCGTCCTGTCCCTGTATCCCTCCCTCCATCCATCCCTCCCTTCCATCCCTCCCTCCCTCCATCCATCCCTCCCTCCATCCCTCCCTCCCTCCCTTCCTCCATCTTCCCTCCCTCCGTCCCTCCCTCCCTCCCTCCCTCCATCCCTCCCTCCATCTTCCCTCCATCCATCCCTCCCTCCATCCCTCCCTCCATCCCTCC